ATGGTTGAATCGAGTTGAAACCATGAAGCAAATGACATATCAATGAGGTCAAATAGATCAGTTGACAAGGATTATGAATGAAGAATAAGAACGTAAAGAAAATAAGTCCAAAATAGGTCTGGTGGGCCCAATGGACCTATTCTAACAATATTGTAACTAGAAAGCTTGTGCAATAGCTTAGACAAGAGTAGGTTTAGATCCCTATTCCATGCCATGGAATAATACCTAGTTTGATATAGTTGAGAAATTAGTGTCAATTGAGGGATGGAAGATTTTTGACCGAAGAAAAGAAGTGTAACAAGATTTGCATCCAAATAGCTAATAAGCTTTTCATTTTTTGCTAAAATAAAGTTTTAATTCAACTCAAATGGACTAGAGGCACATGATGTTTGAAGACACAGTTTGACCCAATTAGAGATTTGGGCACATGTTAAATGTGTCAAAATCTTAATTCCTACATTTCTCTTTATTTCCACATTATTATTCTTGAAATTTTAAATATTCCTCCCAAAGTATGAGGGGCATTCTAACCGAACCCTCATGTTCTTAAGGGGTGTTTTAATTATTGTTTTCTACTTTTTAAGATCATAACAAATTCCTCCTTTTATAAGTTAGTTATAATTATTTTTTGACCTATAAATAGGTCAACCCTTGTAGCCCAAGAGGTAGTTCATATTTCATCAATCTATTTTCATGTTCTCTTCCTCTCTAGAGGTTCTACATCTCTACTAGTGAAATCTAACATTAAGGAACGATTTTTAATTCTGTGGGCTTAAGATCAACCCCTTGTGGACTCAAGGTAAAGCATATTCACAAAAATCAAGTCTTTTGTGATTTCAAGAATGAGATTCAACATCCTACAACTGAGGTCGTATCAACTAGGTCAAATTGTTCATCAACTCAAATTTACACTACGTCATAATTGTATAGACAACACAACTTGTTGAAGAGAAGGATGTGATAACTAAGCAAAGAGTAGTACAAGCATGACTACATGGTAGTGACAATAGTGGCTGAGGCAATGTCATTGATGACAATGGTTGATTACCTCTCTTTGAGTGAAAGACAGTTGCTGGTGACAATGACACATAGGAAAGTGAACCTTTTTGTCAAGATGATGGATGTGACATAGAACAGTATGACAAAAACATGAGATAATGTAAGAAGACATGAGAAACAATAAGATTGATGTTCTATTGTCATAGAATTGCCTTGTCGATAGAGGACCTTGTCGAAAGAGGGATAAGGTGTCAATGAGGGGCCGATGTCGGAGTGCTAATGGGAAGACATCGATGATGACGGTGATAGAGATAGTTCCTTTAGGGTTTAACATCTAACCCTAAAAGAGTAGTAATGGGCCAGATAAAGTTAGCCCCTTTACACTTAACATCATTGATGACATCAAAAGTAAGACTCAACTCACTATAATAGTAATTATAATTATGTTCAACACTCTATCAATCAATAGTCAATTATTGCAACCCTTTCATTTTATTCAAACTTATACATCTAAATAATTTCTTTTTTAAGAAAAAAATACTTATAACCTTTTAAGTTTATGATTTATCATCATTTTTTTATGTTGGTGGAAAGCTTGTGATGTGATTTAGTCATTATGTAATAAATCACCCAAATTTAAAATTTATAAAACTAGAAAATACTAATTAAGAAAATAAATTATAATTTTAATAAAAAGTTGTAAAAATAATGAGTAATTTCTAAGTCAATCATAGGAATGTAAAATAATATATAATAATATTTCATAATTTTTATAAATAATGTCATATGTTATGATTTTTAGACTAAATAATATACATAAAATATATTTAAAATATACAAAAGAAAAGTAAGGGTGCAGATGTTGGATGACTTTAGCAACCCAACGAACATGAATTGGACAAAAATAAAGTTTCATCTGACGATTTTTGTATAATTAATTACAAATGAATTAATTAGTGAAATTAAGATCTATAAAGTCAGAATAATTGTAATTTAATGAAGAATAGTTTTAAAACTTGAAATCACACAAAGTATTATTAAATTAAGTAAAAATTAAGTTGAAAGTAAGAAAGACAGAGTTCTAACCTTGCGATAGTGATCATCAAAATTTTGTGTCTTGGATGATTATCGTGTGATGTCTATGGCCTCAAGGGCTCTCTTTAGACATAGACAACTTGGCATTCCCTAGATCTCCATTTGAAGTTTAGAAAATGATGATAAAAGTTAAACTAGTTAAAAATAGGAAAATAGAGTTATGACATTATTACGGTGATACGTCAAAATGTTGAGTATTCGGTGAGACTTTTATGTAATGTCTACAGCCTCAAAGGCTTTACTTGAACAAATACAACGTAGGTAATCTTTAAAAAAAATTATAAGATTTAGAAATCGATGGGATGAGTCAACAAATCATCTACGACAATTATCACTTGCAAGAGCGAAAAAATGATGACTTTGTGGATCTCTAGCAATTGTCATCTAATAGAGATAAGTTAGATGGAGATGGGGCACATCTTAAGGAGCTTCATCTTTAAATTTGCATAATAAGAGGAAGCTCTTCATCACATTTGGTATGCTCTCAAAAGATTACAACTCATCTCATGACGAAATAGTTTTTTCACAAAGACGTCTTATTCATTGATCAATCAGAGATAATTTATTTAATAGATTTGTGATCCTTTTATCTAGAATTATTTGATAATTTTAATAATAATACTTTGTAAATCATATTCACAAGATTTTCACCGATGATTGAGTAACTCTAGTGGCTTAATTGTTTACTAATAATCTGTAAAAAATCACAATTTAATCATATAAAAATATAAGTTTTAACTTTTATAAGATTCAAACCTTCACCAGTCACCTACATATATGAGAGAGAATGAAATAAGTACATGAATACACTTTATAAAGCAACATCATAAGGATATCTACTTCTCATAAAAAAGAAATATTTTATGTATTAAAATAATTAGAAGCACTTCGTGAAGTTGTGACACTGATTTAGTCCTAAATCTATTATTTTCTAAGTTTTGAGATGTATATATAGTAATACAACATTCTATCATCAATGAGCCTCTTTCTATTTATGTACGACCACCCCTTACCTCATGTTTAACTAGCCACTAATGACGTGAAAGAGGAGTGATGTGCATGTGCCCTCTACTAGTCAGCCACTCGCATCTCTACTTGATTGTGCTTCCAACCCACTTATAAGGCCAACTAATTAGGGATCCCTCACCCTTTTCTATATTTTTTATTTTATTTTATTTCTCTTCATTTATCTCAAAAATATGATTATAAAAATTACATAACTTTGTATAAAATCACATAATTAGCTAAATCTATTTAACATAAATCTAAATATATTTATAATTTAACATAAATATAAATTTATTTATGATGAATTAAGGCTTAAAATTTATTATTAATTAATTATTAATTCAAGATAATGAAGACTTATTATTCATGAATTTCCTTACTAAATTTTTTTGAAAAAGATTAACACAAATTGAATCCTTTATAATAAACCAAGTCAACTTATTAGGCTCAACATTCTTCTCAATTTGTTTGAAAGTCTAAGGTGTAAGGCTTTCACTAATGTTAGGGAGTAATGGTTAAGACCTATAATAACTCATGGATTTATTCTTCTTCTTACAATTAATGAAATAAATATAAATTTAGTGAAAAATAAAAGATATAAAATAATTAATATCAAATAACCATATTTAAACTAGAAAATATATTTATTAACATATATCTACTCATAATTAAACTTTCAATTATGATGAATATGTTTACACTTTCCTATTAGTCTTAATGAGGCCACATTGTGAACCAATAGAGGGGTGAATTGATCTTCTTGCATCTTTTTTGTTTGTTTTCTCATTCTTGTTTTGATCTGAACACCTACAAGGTTATAATTACTTTGCTGACCTAATCTACTCTATTCTCAAAGGACAATGTGTTCTTAGGCATTATTGATTCTTTAGTAAACTACACTAGAGATAAAGGCCTCGATAATCTTACATTGAAAACAATAGACCTTAGTAAGCCTATGATGGATACAAAGGCCTCACTAAGTCTATGTTCAACACAATGGCCTCAAACTAACACAAGCTTCATAATAGCCTCAACAAACTTGCACGAAATGCAACAGTCTCATTGTAGAGTTGATCCTACCTAAGGGGATTGATATCCTCCCCCCCTTTAGAGATAGAGAGAGAGAGAGAGAGAGAGAGAATGGGAGATTAAGATCTAAAACCCATCTCAAGGATAAAGTTTTCTATTAAGGTATTTTTAGCCATTATTAGGTAGCAATATCAATTGATAGTAGAGCTAATCATAGTGGGTTGGGTTTTCGTGAGGTGTAGTCTCAAATCCAGCAATGGACGGAGGCTATTTCCTAAGTTTTTTCCTGAAATAATATAAACGGTCTAAATTTTTATATACGTTTTAAAATTAGTGCGGTAAAATTGCATATGAAATATAATTTGGGAATAATTGGAGAGTGTCTAATGGGCCATGCAAGTCCAAATGCCCAAAAAGGCCCAACCCACACTTTTCAGGCCTTGTAAATAAACTTGGATCCCATAACCTAAATTGGGCCTTGTGAGGACACCCAACTAACTGATTGTTAGATTGTCATTTGACCTCTCCTCTACTCTCCACGTGGCGACTCTCTGCCCCCTCTCTCTCTCTCTCTCTCTCTCTCTCTCTCCCTCTCTCCTACGAATCCCAGATCTCCGTGGGCGGTGGGTGCGGGGCAGGAAAAATATTGTAGGAATACAGGAAATATTATACACGAAATATGGTAATAATTGAATTACATGTTTATAGGCAGATTAATTGTAAATTTAATTTAATTTTTCTTAGATATAAAAACTCAACTCGCAGCGATGATTTAGGGTTCGTACTGCGCTCGCCTGCTGCTCCAGAGCCCAACGTAGCGTGGGAGAGAACGAGCGGAGAACAGCAGCTAGGAAACCCGAGCCGCCGTCATGGTTGGTTCCCTTCACTGTGGCCTAATGTGGATCACCCGTTCTCCGAATCCTTTGCGATCTGGTGTAGTTTATCTTTTTTCATTACTTTTGGGTTCGTGTGTGATGATGCCTATCGTTGCTTCCGCGCAGTCTCTGATCGCCAACGAGGATTTCCAGCACATTCTGCGTCTGCTGAACACCAACGTGGATGGCAAGAAAAAGATCATGTTCGCCCTCACTTCCATCAAGGGTGTCGGGCGCCGCTTCGCCAACATCGTCTGCAAGAAGGCCGACGTCGACATGAACAAGAGGTAAGATATTTCCATCTTTGTCTTGACTATTTTTCGTATCTGTTGACCGATTTCTCCTGAATTTCGGCCTGCGCTGCCTATAGCTTGCTTTGGATCTAGTTATACCGGATGCACGTTGTCATACTTGAGCTTTAGGTTTAGTTGTCATGTAAGATAATGCCAACAACTTTTAGACTTTTTTTTCACTAGAAGTTAATTTTCCCGATCTTCTCGTCCATCGATCTCATTAATCGAACGAAAAGTATGGAAATGAAACTAAAGACTCAGGGTCTGTTGTTTTGGTGTAGTTTTTAAAAGTGAAGGTTGTAGGCTTTCCTTCCGGGTATTGGTGTTCGGCCTCCGGAATGTCACCACGTTTGCTTATTAATTGGGGAAAGATGGAGTTAGTTGTCGGATGCCATGTTGCTGTGCCAGCTGACGCTTTTGAACTACCACACTTCTCAATTAATTTCTGATGTAGGCACTATACGTGTTATGTTCCGCTGTCACGTATTCTGCAGGGCTGGGGAGCTCTCCAATGCCGAGATTGAGAATCTGATGACTGTCGTTGCAAACCCTCGTCAGTTTAAGATCCCTGATTGGTTCTTGAACAGAAAGAAGGATTACAAGGACGGCAGGTACTCCCAGGTCGTTTCTAATGCCCTGGACATGAAGCTGAGGGATGATCTTGAGCGCCTTAAGAAGATCAGGTTTGTACTTTTGCAACTTGCATTGTTGCCGATAAGATTTTAAGGTACATGAATGTCTCTGGAAATTTTGTATTTCACTTATTAATGGAAAATTTTAGTCTTGCTGAGTAAAAGTTCTTTCATCATTGTTTTTAGTTCATCTTTAGATCTTTAGGAGGATCTAACATTTTTTCCAAAACAAATGGGTCGCCAATAAGTTTGTAGTACGCATATTCTCTAGTTTTAAATCTTCCACTATCGTGTAGAATCGACCAATGGAAGTTTTGTAGTCTGGTTCCCCTTTGTTGTCTTGATATTGTCATTATCTTACATAAGTTGGAGTGAATCTTATTGGTTAACCAGTATCTTATGTAACAGATTCAGAATAGATGGGTATCGCTATACTGAATCGATTTGTTTCCTACTTTGATTTTTATGCATACTTGCATGGAATAGTCAACTTTCCTTGGGATGATCCCCTGCAAAACAGCTTGGAAGATTCATACCTACATCTTATGCTTCTGTAAAGAATAGTTTCGTTGGTATACCCTGTTTTAGACGAGCATTATGTTTATTTCAAGACATTAACAACTGGGACTAGGTAGCGACGAGCTCATACTGCCAGAAAAAGGTTGGGAAGCTTGCCGTCATTTTATGAGCTCCTTGTGATATGCTACGTTCCTGAGGACCATTTACATGTCAGCTTCATCCCCTGGTTATCTAGGGAGCATTAGCCTGCCATGCTATTCTTTATTGGTTTCTTGTATCACTCAGATATGTATTTTCTCAGCTCATGATTATTGGCGTTTGTTATGAATCTCAAGGGCCGGTTAATACAGATCGCTGTTCATTGTAGCCCGCAACTGAGAATTAAAACGTTGAGAAAAAAAAACTTTTCTTATGCTCAGTTTAACTAGTATTCTAATGTTTAGATATGAGTCTGCAGATCCAACGTTGAATCGGGCTACTATTATATCTTTGTACTGATTTTCCTGACAGAAACCACCGTGGGCTGAGGCACTACTGGGGCCTCCGTGTCCGTGGGCAACACACCAAGACCACTGGCCGCAGGGGGAAGACTGTCGGTGTCTCCAAGAAGCGATAGATTTTCTTCTTCTCTCCCATTCCTCCCACCACCTGGCTTCCTTTCTTATCACCAAGCAGTCCAAAAGAACTGTTCTTTCTTATTTCTCTTGTATTTCCACTCCTTTTTGAGTTTGGACGCCGAGGCCCTTCTGATATTGCTTAGATTATCTCTAGAATTCCATCTTCCTTGCTCACCGAGATCTTGGGATATTACTTTTGTCAAATTTTTTTTTCAAAATCAGCTCACTATGTCTGTGATTCTCGTGATGTTTGGGTTATCTTCTCCGTTTTTCTCCCTGGCTTTTAAGAATCATTATTTTATAATCTAGAGAACAGTTTGCCTCAAGACTTGTCATCTTTCTTTTTCTGGGAATTGTGTCGTTAAGTACCAAAAGTCAACTTGTATCATGGGTTTAATAACTTTCATCTAAACCTTTTATCTATGATGCTGCATATTTTTAGCACAATCAGAATCTTTAGGAAAACCTTGATGCAGATGAATTTCCTCTTCCTTTGGATAAATGAAGTTAACATATTTAGTATTGAGCTACTACAGTTCCTCCTTGACAGTCTATGCAGAAAATAAAGCACTCAAGACTGTTAAATTTCTCGTCAGCACAAGAGGGTTGACTTTCTGCTCGACTTGAGTAAAAAAATAGGAAAAAAAAAAGTATAGTGTTGTTCTCTCTTGAGAAGCCTTCAAAGGAGAGGGCTGACTTTGAGAGCAATCCCAATGCTGTCAAAGATATGATCTATGCCTTTTATGGAGAGATTGGCCTCTGGGAATTTCATGCTCTTGGCCCATTGAAGAGCAGTCTTTTTTCAGATTTCTAACTACTTTAATGGAGCAAGAAGAAATGGAGATTCTTCTGAAGGCCATTTCTTTAAGACTAGCCCTAGAAAAGCCAGTTAATTTTAACGAGGACCGTTGCAGAGTCCACTATTACTGGTAAACCATTTTTCTTTTTTTGGAGTAATTTAAAAAAAGCAGGTTATTCTCTCTCTACCTCTCTCTCTCACTAAATGCACCCCATTTTATGAAGCTTTCAGTGCCCCTATTTAAAAGATCCTGCTTTTTTAGGTGGCCTTTTTATAATTTTCAATTCGGAACGTCTTCTTTAAAATAATACGTTTAATAAATCGTAACTTTTAATAGTGTTTGAGAAATAATATGTTGAGAGGAGGGTTTTTTTAAAAAAAAACGGTGTGACTGACGAGAGGATTTTATCTTCAAGTTTTTTTTGTAAGTAGAAAAACAAAAAATATGGCATGCTTCGAAGGTCCTTACTCTTTTTTCCAATAAATAAAGATGAAATCATTAAATAAAATCCCCAATTAAATGAATAAATAATGATATGCCCTTGGGATTTTCCTATAAATACGTACAGTCTCATTCGATAGAAATCGGGAAATTTTCAGATCGAAAATATTTTTTAGATGCCTAAATTATCACGATTGCCCACATGGGTCCCTTTTTTCCCCCCTGATTTACGTAATTATTTTTACATTTTAATTGGCTATTTTTAATAAAAAAAATCAATATCTTTTGGATACTCAGCCATTCTGATTTCGTACTTGGAAGCCTACCCGAAACGACCAATTATTGTGATAATTAATCACTTCGTTAGATGTAATCTAATCCAAGGTCGGCAGTTGATTGTAGCCATTATTGGCCCAATGGGCCGTTTTAGCCTGCTAGCAACCCAATGGCTACTGACTTCCCCTGCTTTTACCAGTCATTTCATTTTCTTCGAGCTTGGTCCTCCTCCATCTCTCCTCCCTGGCCGTGGTCTCCGAGCAGGAAGACGGTGTGTGGAGAGGGCGGCGGAAGGTGGGGGTAGGAGGGGAACGCAGAGACAGCAGGAGAAGGTCGAGATGAGTGGGCACGACTCCAAGTACTTCTCCACCACCAAGAAGGGGGAGATCCCCGAGCTCAAGGAGGAGCTCAACTCCCAATACAAGGTTTCTCTCCGACCCCCGCTAATCCGTGCGATTTCTCCCCGACCACATCGATCTGCGCTTGAATCGCTCTCTGTATGTGTTATGGCCTCCCTTACGTTGTCTCTGTGACGGAATTGGTGGTCTTGTGTCGTTTTGTGGATGGGTTGGTCGCGGATCTGCGGGGGGGGTTGGGCGGACGAATGTAGATCTGGGAGCTCGTTCACTTGATGTCGCCGGGAGGGGATGATCTGATTGGATTAGGGAGGTTGAATGGTTGGCCTACGTTTGTGTGCGTGATGTTGCGGCATGCTGCGCGGTGGAATCTGAAAGTGGATTGGGAGGTTTATCGTTGTCAGCATCGGTTCGATGATGTTTGCTCGTGCTTTTGAGCCTACGTATATGAGACGAGCGTTTTTTCAACTGTAAATTACGCGTTCTAACACTCTGAAAGGCATTTTGCCTTTTTTATCTTCTTCGTCTGTCTGGTGAAGGGATTGTCAAGACGTCGAATGCTATCCTTTTCTATTTACAATGTGTGCAAATATTTTAACTCACCATTTCTTGAAAGGCTCAGTGCACAGTGGGAGGCAATGGAAAACTTGTTTTTCCTGAGAATCAAAGTCTCCCTTGAAAACACCCTGGCTTTTCTTTGTAATTGAAACCCGAGATCAGGAAGCCTCAGATCTTATTTGTTGTAGAGGATGTATCCTTACGCTATCTCGCCAGTAAGTGCTACAGAATTGGGAGAGGTTTAGGAGTCCGTATTTCCAAATTTCTTGACCTAATTCATTTTGAAAATTTACTGTGAACCCCATAAAATAAAAATAAAAATAAAAAAATTGAATTTACCTTTCCCTGTATTGAATTCATCATCAGATCCATCGAGTTTTACACGCCAGACTTACTTGGCTACTTATCCCCCTCAAAACTATTATCCTCAACTGATCAGTAATCATTCCCATTTTGGGCACGATTAACTGAAAAATTCCCATGAGTATCATGGTGAAATGGTTAAGGACAGAACTTTCATTGCCAATGATGGAGATCTGTCCGACTGCAGTGTCAGTAGCATGGTAAAACGAATGGTTTTTCCATCAATCTTATGGCATGAATGCAGCGTTGAGGATATTAGCAATGTAAAACTGTGATATCATTGCAACTCAATGGTGTTGATGGAACCAAAGAATCTGTGATTTTCAGTGGACCGGATGGTGTGAAATCTCTTGTCGCTAAGAAGGCAATGGAGATATAATGTTGGAGATATCCTGATTGTTGAACCGCAATGAAGTTGCTGAAGTAAGAGGTCATGGAGGAAGTCAAAAACCATTTTTTTGTATCATTCCATTATTGCTGGATGACATTTTATGTTAGTTGTTTGAGTAAGTTGTATCAACTCATATGCAAATTGGCTCAATTCAGTTCAGGTCAAAATCATGGACAACAGCAATGAATCCACACCTGGGTTATATTTTGATTAATTCAAAATGTTTGATTGTACATAACGATCCTTTTTTTATTTATTTTGAATGCCTTTTGATTATCCTCAAGTTGATTTTGATTGAAATTAACTGATTTACAGACAATGGTTCTAACTCATTCAGGTTCAGGTTGTATCATTCCAACCAAGTTTTCATTTTATGACTTGTGTCTGGCCAATGTGACAATGGTCGAGTTTCTTAGTTTTCTTATTCTGCAAGGTTGAGTTCTTCTCAGTTTTCTGATTTTTTAACTGTAGCTCACACCTCCTAATCGTTCTCATAGGATAGGAGAAAGGATGCAGTTAAGAAGGTGATTGCTGCCATGACTGTCGGAAAAGATGTTTCGTCATTGTTCACAGATGTAGTGAACTGCATGCAAACGGAGAATCTGGAGTTGAAAAAACTTGTATACTTATATCTTATCAATTATGCAAAAAGCCAGCCCGACCTAGCCATACTAGCTGTGAATACTTTTGTCAAGGTGTGTCCTCTCTTCCTTGTATCGCTTGCTTCTAAGGTTTTAGTATTATTTTAATTATTGGAACTAATTCAGTGTATGCAGGCTATGATTAACATCTTTTTCATCTGTCTTTGTCGATGGACATCATTCATTGTTTTCATTAAGACATTCCTGTGTGGTTCTACCCTTATTTTATTCGACATCTTCTTGAAGAGAAACGTACAAATTTGACTATTCTGGTGGTTGGGTGTGGTAGGGAGCGGGTGGTTGCCTCTGTTGTCCCTCCGAAAGATTATACTTCCATTGGCTATAATTTATTTATTTATTTATTGCAAAAATATTACTGCTCTGGATGAAAGATATTGCTTTATCTTGGAGAAAGTATCTCATGCGACAATTATTTTCAAAAATTACCATTTGGCATGCTTAGGGCGACGTTTGCATGTTTGGTGCATTAGTAGTCCATGATATTTAATTCTTCACTCTCCCCCTGAAAAAAAAAAATTCTTAGTTTGATGAGTCTTTTGTGGAATTCTGAAGAAAAACATTAGCTAATGTTTGCTTGCATTCGAGGAAGTCAATTTTTTTTTCCTGAGATTTGTATTAACGCAAAAGGGTGGAACGAAATCTGTCTCGCATGCAGCTAAAAATGGATATGGTTTTATTCAATTAGAACTTCAAATGATGGAAGATGTTTTTGAAGTCCTCTATTGATGAAGGAACGCTAGTCTTGAATAAATATTTTACATCAGTATTAGGATCACATTTCACTTTGATTGTGAACCTGACTATGTTTTGACGATTTGTTCATCTCGCAGGACTCACAAGATCCAAATCCTCTAATTCGTGCTTTAGCCGTGAGAACGATGGGGTGCATTCGTGTTGACAAAATCACAGAATATTTGTGTGATCCCCTTCAAAGATGTCTAAAGGTCTCTTCAATTAATCCATCACGTTCGTTTGATTGTCTTTTGATTCTTACTCAATATCCTCTCTGTTTCCCTGGGCTTGTGTAGCCGGGTTATTTCCAATGACTCTCTTCTTATTCAATTCTTTTTTGCTGCATCAATTTCAATAACTATCTCTTCTTGTGTAGTTTTTCTTTCAGATATTGATGATAATTTTCAATTATGTAGGATGATGATCCATATGTCCGTAAGACAGCAGCAATTTGTGTTGCAAAGCTTTACGATATTAATGCAGAGTTAGTTGAAGATAGGGGTTTCTTAGAGACACTCAAGGACATGATTTCTGACAGTAATCCGATGGTGGTCGCAAATGCTGTCGCAGCACTTGCTGAAATACAAGAAAATAGCACCAGATTGATCTTTGAGATCACCAGCAATACACTTTCTAAGCTTTTGACGGCTTTAAACGAGTGCAATGAGTAAGTATACACTTCGTACCTTTGTTTAAATTTAGCTTTAGTTGCAAAAGGTGGTTACTAGAGTTTGTTTTTGTGTATTCTTACTTATCTTAGTGATATGATGAAATGAATTGCCTTATACATTATATTGTGACGACCATTATAAGCACGTATTCACATTCATTCTTTACATTCTACAGTTCTGGGAGTGCGGATATAGGAACCTCGGAAACCAGGAGAGCTTCCTATTTGACTGGAAAACCGATGCATACTTGGCCCTCTTTTCAATCCACTCTCTAAGATAGGAACTTCCCCAATCAGACCTACACTGTACATATGTCTGGCAACGCCTTATAAAGGGTTGACACTAGTTAGGTACTGGCCAAAAATTTTGATCAAATTCCTTTGTGGTTAATTCGATCTATCTTGCTTTTATCACTTGAATTTTTTTAACGGTTAATATTTCATTCAAAGAGAAAATTTCCAGGTAATGGAAGAATTTTCTTAATGACTTTGTGAAAAATAGAACCATTTGAATACATATAGCTATGTTAATCTTGAAAGTAGAAAAGGACTTGACAATCCTAGCTGAAATCTGTCTATCTAACTCAGTATGAAACTCAAAGTTACCATTTGAATACATATAGCTATGTTAATCTTGAAAGTAGAAAGGGACTTGACAATCCTAGCTGAAATCTATGTCTATCTAACTCAGTATGAACTCAAAGTTTCCATTTGAAACATGGTGGACGTGCTTGTTTACTTAGTACGTAATGTTTTTTCTTTGCCATGTGGTTTTTAGTTGTCTATGGTTCTTCCCCTTTCTTCTTTTGTTCAAGTTTTACTGTTTATCCATCCAGAGGCCGATAAAAACCCATTCTTTTATATCTTTGGTTTTACTCCTACATTGACTTTTAGCCTGTAATGAATGATAACATATTGATTATCCAGTCTTCATGAATCATTGAATTCTAGGTTTTGACCGGTCACAGATGTTTGATGGATTCCTTTCAAAGATAAGTTGATGTGAATATGAGCTGTAATGTTTTGGATTGGAGTTGAGAAATTATCTCTTGGGATTCTATGTGTGGTTCAGTGTGTTTGCTCGGAAAGAACTTTGATACGGTTTTCACGTGATATCAACTCATAAGATTGCATGTATGAAAAGAATTATGGCGCCTAGCATAAGTGTTTGTGGATGGTCTATGCAAAGGGTATTTCAGCAAGCGCTAGGGCTCCACACTCGTACTTTCCCCAAATTACCGTTTTCTACGTCAGGTCAAGTACTGATACGATTTTCTATTCGCAGATGGGGCCAAGTTTTCATTTTGGATGCACTCTCGAGGTACAGGGCAGCTGATGCCCGTGAAGCAGAAAATATTGTGGAAAGAGTCACCCCGCGTCTGCAGCATGCTAATTGTGCTGTCGTGCTTTCTGCTGTCAAGGTGGGCAGCAATGATCATTATCCGTTCTTTCTCCGTGCTTTCTGATTCGTTCTGTAATTTTTTTAAAGCCAGACACTAATCCTTGTCCCGAGAACTTATAAGCTAGTAGCTCATAGAGTATGTTCCTTAATCACTATGTAAATCTGACTTAGTAGGCAATCTTATGGCATTGATTATATCAGCAGATAGTCTGCTATTAATTTTTAGGGTCGATTCAACATGTAACCATTGGTAACGTTTTGATTTCTCACCTGATTTTAATTGATTTTTTTTTCCATATAACAACGTCATGGTTTGGCTTTGTCAGATGATTCTTCAGCAGATGGAACTCATCACGAGTACCGATGTCGTCCGCAATCTTTGCAAAAAAATGGCTCCTCCTCTGGTGACACTTCTTTCTTCAGAGCCTGAGATACAATATGTAGCGTTGCGCAACATCAATCTTATCGTCCAGAAGCGGCCTACCATCCTTGCTCATGAAATCAAGGTAACATTTAGCTGTAATTGATGAACATAAAATTCACATCTGCGTGTCCACAGCTTATTAATGTTCTTATGACCACCTGTTTCGGCAGGTTTTCTTTTGCAAGTATAATGATCCCATTTATGTAAAGATGGAGAAATTGGAGATCATGATAAAGCTTGCATCTGATCGGAACATAGACCAGGTATAGAAACTCATATTCTGATTCCTTCTGTTTTTGGATTTTTTTTTTTCCCCAGTTCTTGTTAAAAAATTCAATTTATGGTACAACTACAGTGGTCAGTGAGAATTCTTATCCTATAAAGGATCATGTGCCTTTTTCTTTTCTTTTTTCTTCCATTCAAACAGATCTATTCTATCAAATATTTTCTACCCCCTGTTTCCTTCCACCATTTCTGTTCGTTCGCGTGTTCTAAGCATCTGGATCATTGTCACCATGCTTCCTGCTTCGCTATGAACACCACTTGAAGATATCTAACCATCATCTTTCTGTCTCTGGTGTTGCTTTCTAGGTTCTGCTGGAGTTCAAAGAGTACGCCACGGAGGTAGATGTAGATTTTGTTCGGAAGGCAGTCCGCGCGATTGGCCGTTGTGCTATCAAGTTGGAGAGAGCGGCTGAGCGATGCATCAGCGTTTTGCTCGAACTGATAAAGCTGAAGGTGAATTACGTGGTACAGGAGGCGATCATAGTTATTAAAGACATTTTTAGACGCTATCCTAACACGTAAGTCCCAGTCTTATATATATATATATATATATATATATAGTCCGTTGACCCTATACTCCCATCTGTGGAATTATGTTATGTTCATCCTTGATGGTTGACCATTTTCTTACTCCCCTGTGGCAGCTATGAGTCAATCATTGCAACGCTTTGTGAGAGCCTAGACAACCTTGATGAACCAGAGGCTAAGGTATTAAAAAAGAAGAAGTAAACTTCGTTGACTTTTTTCGCCGGTGTTCCTCCACTCATCTTCTGAGCATGAATCCTATTTGTAGGCATCGATGATCTGGATTATCGGTGAATATGCGGAGAGGATCGACAATGCCGATGAACTGCTCGAAAGCTTTCTCGAAAGCTTCCCAGAGGAGCCTGCTCTTGTGCAGCTGCAGTTGCTGACTGCCACCGTCAAGTTGTTTCTTAAAAAGCCAACTGAAGGCCCACAGCAGATGATCCAGGTTCTTGCAGTTGACTTTTTACGCCCTTACCCTTGCATGATTATCTTACTCTTTCTCTCTGTCCACCCTTCTGAGATTACTTTTTTTGGCAGATATAACGCCTAATTCTGAGCTAGGATTCCATCTAGGTTCTATAATAATAAGAATAATATATAAAAAAAACTGAACACCGCATTGGAACATCTAAATCTGGGTGAGGTTTAGCTGGATGGTGTCATCCGTTTCTTGCCCCCTTTCTGACATTTAGTCCGAGATTGTTGGAGGAAATGATAAGAAGAAGAATAACAGGGATGAAGAAGGCAGTTTATTTTATTCCATGTGATGTTCCTCCGGAGGAATTTTTCTCTGCGTTCGCTTTGAGATGCCTTTTGACCTTTTCTCTCGACTTTCATGGCTCAGGTCGTTCTGAACAACGCCACCGTCGAAACTGACAACCCCGACCTGAGGGACCGTGCTTACATATACTGGCGACTTCTCTCCACCGATCCTGAGGTAATTACCTGCACCCCAAAATGTCAACGCCATGATCAAAGTAGACGAGATAACGCGCACCCACTTTTTGAGAAGGGGCGGGAGGTAGGGGTACTTGCACCCCAAAAGTCAACCCCTTGATCAAAGTAGTAGACAAGATAACCCACACCCATTTTTGGGCAGGGTGGAAGGTAGTGTTTATGGTCCCAAAAAGTCAACGTCATTATTATTACAGTAGATAAAAGATAGCCCGGACCTATTTCTGGGCGGTGGCGGGAGGTAGTAGTGTACTAGCACTCAAAAGTCAGCGCCTTGATCAAAGTAGACAGGAGATATCCCTCACCAACTTTTGGGCAGGGACGGGACGAGGCAGTTCACCTCGCTCCTCCCCTGATGATTTTCTGGATGGAGTCAACCTCTCTCTCTCTCTTGCTCACTCTTTCTCTCTCTACACCAGGCAGCGAAGGACATTGTTCTGGCGGAGAAGCCGGTGATCAGCGACGACTCCAACCAGCTCGATGCCTCTCTCCTGGACGAGCTCCTCGCCAACATTGCCACCCTCTCCTCCGTCTTCCACAAGCCCCCCGAGGCCTTCGTCACCCGCGCCAAGCCCTCCGCTCCCAGACCCGACGACGACGACTTCCCCGACGGCGGGGAGCCCACCGCCTACTCCGAGTCCCTTTCCCAGGGCTCCGACCGTGCTTCCGCTGCTCCGCCGCCGTCCTCCTCCGGTGCTCCGCAGCCGCCTGCTCCGGCCGCTGTGCCGGACCTCCTTGGCGACCTGATCGGCCTCGACAACGCCCTCGTCCCCGTCGACCAGCCCGCCGCTGCCCCCCGGTAAGAAACATCGCCCTAATTTCTGCACTAATTTCTCTTCCTCTTCTCCTCCGCACTGATTTCGCCGTGATTTCCCGCAGACCTTCCCTCCCGATCCTCCTGCCGTCGTCCAATGGGCAGGGCCTGCAGATCAGCGCTCAGCTCACCCGCCGCGACGGCCAGGTCTTCTACAGCCTGCTCTTCGAGAACAGCTCTCTCGCCGCCCTTGACGGATTCATGATCCAGTTCAACAAGAACACCTTCGGCCTCGCCGCCGCCGGCCCCCTCCAGGCACATACCACCGACGAGCTCCATATATGAATTCTCTAATCTCTGTTTTCTCCGATCGGATCGAGAAGGAAATTCATTCGTCTTCTCGCTTGCAGGTGCCGTCGCTGCAACCGGGATCGTCGGCCACGACGCTCCTGCCGATGGTGCTGTTCCAGAACGTCCTCCCGGGCCCTCCGAGCTCGCTGCTACAGGTGGCGGTGAAGAACAACCAGCAGCCGGTCTGGTACTTCAACGACAAGATCCCCCTCCAGGCGCTGCTAATGGAGGACGGGAAGATGGAGCGCCAGAGCTTCCTCGAGGCAAGCATCAAATCCTACTAGCCTCCTCAGAACTTCCTTGAAAGAATCCGCATAAACCCTAGCCTCGGATCATCGAGGATACGTTCTGGTTATTGACGGGGGAGGAGCTTGGGGGTGCTGCAGACATGGAAGTCCTTGCCGGATGCGAACGAGGTGGCGAAGGAGCTGCCGAGCGCCGTCCTCCAGAGCGTAGACGGCACGGTGGAGCGGCTGGCGGCGGCGAACGTGTTCTTCGTGGCGAAGAGGAAGAACGGCAACAAGGACGTCCTCTACCTCTCCGCCAAGGTTCCCCCCAGCGTCATCTTCCTCGTGGAGCTCACCGCCGCCGCCGGCGTCCCCGGCGTCAAGTGCGCCGTCAAGACCCCCAACCCGGAGATGTCCCTCCTCTTCTTCGAGGCCATGGAGGCCCTCCTCAAGTAACAGGTCAGCCTTCACAACCCCCCCTCCCTGTATAATGCACTCCTCTCTCTCTCTCTCTCTCTCTCTCGCTCTACTCTTTTTCTCTCTATTTCTATCTCAGTGTCTGCCTTTTTCTTTCCTTTTCTGGAAACATTGGAGGTGTTTCTCGTTCGGCTTCTTTTCAGCTGGATGTTGGGTTGTTCCTTATTGGACGTGATCTCATCGATTTCAGAACCGTTTTCCGGTTTGTTTTTATAAGAACGGGTTCTTTCTAGTGTGGCGGTTTCGGTTTAACCATCCATCTCTGGGTAAGTGGATAAACTCATTTTAAGTGCCGTCCGTTGTTGCAAGTGGAGTTCTTTCCAAAAGCTGTTGATGAACAGATTGTCACGGTCAGAGAGAGTAGAAATTGGGACTCAATGCAGGCTGACAATCTCCTTGGCGAAACTAACTGTTATATCTTTGATTGAAAATAGCTGTTGAAGCGGTCCACCACAGCTATAATGCAGTTGTACCCCTTTGACTTTGGCAATCCTTCCACAACATTCGTAGCTACTTCGACGTCGAAGACAAATTCATATATTTCCATGGTATCCCTCAGTTTCCACAGTTCACAACATCTTGAATGTCATCTTGGACGGCTGCAAGGAATGCCTTGGCCTGGACATTGGGGGCCAAATCCGGCAGAAACCCTGAAAGTGGCTCAAATTGAGAGATAAGGTCTTCTACTAACTAACCCAGTTTGTTGTAGGGTAAGCATTGAGAGGGAGTCCGCTGATTATATCCAAAATTGCTCCACCAAGCTGCATTTGAAGTCAAACCAGCCATGGAATCCCACAAGTTGGTGTCAGTAGCTGAACCACGATAGAGCTTTATAAGTCATTACTATCCGAATTCAATCATGGTCATACATCTGGTTGATGCTGAAAAAATTTTCCACCCATAGTAACCAGCCTTTTGGGTTGTCGCCCATAAAGACAGAAATCTCCCCCTTGCACCGTAAATGATCCCCGTGTTAGTCCCTAGGTGCCGCCTGGCGACGAGCTGGAACCACCCCATCTATACTCAGCGAGTCTTCAGTGACATCCTCGTTCGATTCAAGGGAGGTGGCCGAGTTCTTTGCAACCCTGGTCAAGGCGGACGACCCTTATCCCACACTCCAGCCTTGGCTGATGGGAAGGGGAGATTGGAATACCCCCGTTTCCTTTGTCTTCGAATTTGGGCTTCGGCAGCCCCCCCCCCCCCCCAAATAGTCATGGTTGGTGAAGAAGCGGATTTCTCTTTGAGCCTCTTCCCTAGACTGCTCCCAAAAATCTGGATTTGGCTCCACATCGGGTCCAATTCTTCTTGACCAGTTTACTACGATGCGGCCCGCCCTCGTCCTCATGGGCCCGCCCCCCCATGGTCTGTTCATGTGGCCTTTGCCTTTGTGCAGCCTGCTCCAGATGGGCCCCCACATGGCCCGTCCGGTTGAATTGAGGGTTGTCAGCACTAATTGTGCGTCTTCCCTCATTTTCTGCTGATGGCAATGATTTTCGGGAAACCCGATCGACGGCGGACTCGCAGCGATTTACAAGGGCGACGGGGCAGTTGGCAGCAGCGATCGGTGGCCGACGGTGGTGTAGGCACTGCTGCAGCCCCTTCGGCGTGGGTAATAAGCCATCCTTGGGAACGTCCCCCTGTGTGAGATCGTCCCCGGAATACTCAGGGTCGAGGTGCTCCATGCAGTACGTGGTAAGGCGGTATGTTGGGGAACTCAGTGCACCCTAAGGGGAAAGACCAGAAAGCCCTCCCACAGCTACAACGAGAGGTCCCGCAGGCACCGAAGGGTCCTGAGTTTGTGACATGATGGGAAGGAGGCTTTCAGTAGGGCTTGGACGGTAACTAGAGCCGAAGAATGTTGATTCTGGGACTGCTCTATTTATACTTTTCCAGAGCCACGATTTTGGCGTCCATCCGGGCCTCCATATCTTCCATTTTCACTCCCTGTGATCTGGTGATTGTAAACCAGAAGTTTGAGGTTTTTCTAGCTCTGATACCAATTGATACAATCCTAGTTCGTATCTTGCTATTGTACTTCTTCCGAAGAACAGTTTCCAAACCCGACTAGACAAAAGGCTTCCACAGAGGAAGAGGAACCCCAAATGGAAGAGGGAGAAGAGAGGTAGGAGAATGAGGCAATCTTCAAGTCTCTCCTGGGGAAGGGGGCATCGGCAGAGATACTTCTTCCTAGGGATAGTAGAATGAGAACATAGAGAGGGAGAGAGAGATGATAAGGGGGACCAGAGACTTCTTACTTTTGATTTCCTACTCCCTGGGGAAGGCTCCACGATTAGATTTAAAAGAGGCTCTAACTGGGCCTAATGGGTCATGATGGACCTTAGCTCTCTCTTCTTCCTTATTTGGTAGAGGCCCTTATTGGGTATGTATCACCTTGACACATGCATGCAAACCTATACGGTATGTGCTTGCGGACTCCTGGTGTTGTGTGCTGTCTATGTACCTCCACACTGATGAGAGGCATTGCTGCTCAATATGATCCAATTCAATGGTGGTCTACTTGAGTGATTATTTACATGTGAGCCTCATTTTTTAACTCAAGAAAGAACTATCTTTCTTTGTAGTTAGTATTTGTGGTTCTTATCAAGATATCAGCAATTTAGAGAGAGAGAGAGAGAGAGAGAGAGAGAGAGATACCACATGAGTGATCTCATAGGCAATTTGGAAGATACCAACTTATACTCATTAAGTCAAGCCCCAAAATCATGTCAAAGTCATTTACTGTATATATCTAGAAGTTCATTCAATTTTCCTATGAATAAATTCAGAGAGTTACTCATTGTGCCACTCCCATTGATGCTCGGGCTTTAGAGTTAATTGATTTTATTCAATTATCCCCATAAGCTAGCTCTAATCCAGCCTCTTATTTTGAGAAGAAATCATGGGTTTCCCCAGTATCCACTATTGCCTTCATGATTCAGTTGTTAATGGCATTCTTCACGAAAAGAAGTTGTTGTGAACTATAAGGCTCCTAATATGTGGGAGATTAGGGATTGAGAGCTACTCAATGACTAAGAGAAGCTGATCTTGTGTGGCGATGGGATTGAACTACACTTGTGCTTACCTTTATGTCAGCCTTGTTTGGGTAGTTAGTGTATGATGTATGGTAGCCCATTGCAAATGTGATAATTGGTTCATGGAATACCCTCTTTTTACAAAGGTGCATCGTCATTGGTGATTGGCCTTGTCTAGCCTTTGTCATATAGTTCTCCTCTCCCTGTTCCTATAGGGCACCGTCAGCTTCAACCATGGTCATTACCTCAACCATCGTCATTACCAACCATCATCATTGGTAATGCTGTAATGTTTTAGGTGCCACCTACTCTAAAAAGTGTCTTTCATATGGGGGTTACACCATCTTAATTCAAAGTGGTCAACTTAAGAGGTTAACAATATAAACAGTCTTCTATTAACTAACTAATCACTAGTGTGATGTTGTATGCATGACTTCAATATAAGCAGCCTAATTCACCATGTGACATCATGGAAAACCCACGTGAACCTTGTCTTACGTTGTGCTATGTTACTGTCGTACTCACATCAACTATGCATACCTCACGTCTGCCATGACATGTCGCTATATGCTCCGCTGCATGCAACACCATACTGTGTGCATGGTGAGTCAAGACGAGCACCCATCACATGCACACGCATACGCACATTCTCTCGACCTCTCACTAGGATTTGCCATCAGAATTTCTCTCTCAAGGCAGTCCATCCCTCCCCCTCTCTAGTCTCCAAAGTAGTAGTTCCTTTCTCCTTGCGCTGAAGTTCAGACAAAATTTATAGACAATTAGAGAGAGAGAGAGATAGAGGTCTACAGTTATAGCAACGGCTGCTAGAGACAGACTACTACAACTGCTGGCAGAGTTACCCAAGGAGACTGCTACAACAGTTACTCTAACAGTTGAGAGAGACTGATGCTACGGCCGAGATCGGGAACCGAGTTCGAGCATTGCGGCACGCGGGGGGAGAGAGAGAGAGAGAGAGAGGGAGAGAAGGAGGGAGACGAAAGCGTGAGTTAGGAACCTCTTCACCCGTCCGCAATGGCGCGCTGGTGGGGTGCTCTTCCTCGTGCCGGGCCGAAACTGGAATCACGCGGCGGAGGAATTCAATACGTGTTCTACATTCCGGCGGAAGAGCTCCAGACTCCAAAATCCCTCGCCGCCGTCCCTTTCCATTACCATGCATTCATTGATCCATCAGGCGGAGAGGATCAGCCGGGTTCACCGATCGATGAAGAACGGGGGAAAGAAAGAGGAGGAAAACAAACGATTTGCATGGGTGATGATTAGGTTTGCTCCATGGGAGGGCAGAAAAGCTGCTGCGTGTTGGCTCTTAGCCCCGACAGGTGGTGTCGGTCGAAATTCACCCTCCTGCTCGGAAGTTATCCTCTTGAGAACTGCCAGATGGCTTTACAACGCTTCGTTGTATTGCCTCTCTCTCTCTCTCTCTCTCTCTCTCTCTCTCTCTCTCTCTCTCTCTCTCGATCTTTCTTCGTCTTGATGAGCTTGCAGAGGGCCTGCGAAGTGGGGGGAGGCCATGAATGCGCTCACAGCGGCCAGCAGGAACTTCAAGGAGGCCGCGAAGCTTCTGGGGCTGGACTCCAAGTTGGAGAAGAGCTTGCTCATCCCCTTCAGGGAGATCAAGGTGAAGCAAACCCAGGCCATCTTTCCGACCCCCCTCCCAAACCCGTTTTCTCTCTTCATCCAATGAAGTCAAACCTACTATTTTAAGGTTATTTCCCAGGAAGATCACTCATGAAATTTATTGATTATTTCCTTGTGATAAACTGATTGAACAATTGATTCTACCAAGAATTTCGGCTCCTAGTATTTATATTATACATATTTATATAAATTATGAACAGATAGCTCTGCGCAGCGACCCAGATTCATCCACCATCTCCTCTTTTTCTTTTTTGGGTTACATTCAACATCAGCTTCCATTTTCGCCCCCAAATTCTTATGCCTTTCTAAGTAATTTATCTTCTCAAACCCCCCTCCCCCCCACCCGTTATGACTCTTCCTGATCCACAAATCACATAATAATGTGGGTCTTTCTCTGTTTCTTCCCATAATTCTTGATTTCTAATTAAAAACACTGCTATGGAGATGTTGTCACTCTAATTTTAAGATTATTTCCTATGAGGATCAGTTCATCAACTGTGAATGAACAAACTAAATGAAACAGTTATCTGAAGTTCATACCCTACAGGCCAGAATCTGGCCAATCTCCTCTTTATTTTATCTAAAGAGGAGATTTTCATCCCCAGTCTCCCCTTTTCTTCTTATGGTTTTCAATCAGCATTAATTTTCATCCTCTCCTCCTCATATTCTTCTGCTTCTCTGTAATTTCTTTCTGAACCACCCAGATAAATATTATATATTTCGATCCACATGAACTACATGGTTTTTCTCATTATTTCCTCCCATAATCGCCCATTCTAATTAACAACAATTACTATAATCGAACCACACGATTTTACTTGTGTCATTTCCACTCTCAACAGACTGAGATGGATTGCAGGTCGAATGCACGATACCTAGGGACGACGGCACCTTGGCCTCCTTTGTGGGCTTCAGGGTTCAGCATGACAACGCCAGGGGCCCCATGAAAGGAGGAATCCGATATCACCCCAAGGTTCTGTCTGACTACTTAAAAAAAATATTATCATGCTCTTAGAACATAGACGTCACCATGTTTTTCTCTTTTCTACCTGCACAATCAGAATTAGCAAGGTAGAATATTCATCAACCATTTTTATTTTTTTTCGGATATATTTTCATTCTTTGTTGTCAATAATTGATATTTGGGCCGAAATAGTGGTCATTTGATGAAGTAGAATATCTATTTTTTAGATTAATCCCAAATTGAAAAAATAAATCCTTCCATTAAAACCATAAACCGTGAACCCAATTTTTCATCAACTAGTTTTATTCTCTTCTGGTAAATTTCCCCTCTCTCTTCTTTTCACCTCCAAAAATATGAAAGATCGGATTTTACATTAGACCCACATTGAATATAAAAAAAATCCTTCTGTTTCAAAATTTTTATTTTGTAATTTCCCTTTTCTTATGTCGTTTCAAATCGAATAATAATGTAGTGATTCTTTCTCCTGTTCATCAAAGATAAATTACTATTTTTCCGGGTCTGTAAGAACTTTTAGATTCATAAGAATTAGTGAACGAACAAAAAGGGGCCGATCATTGGTAATAACACATTGAAATGTTCCTCATTTCTATTGTTTTATCACTTGACCAAGTACAAAGGTCGTGTCACAAAGAATAGTCTCCTGTTGGGAGGAAAAAAAAACTGTGGGATAATTAATTCACTCGAGTCTTCTTGATGATGAGAAGCTCGTCTGGTTGATGCAGGTTGACCCAGATGAGGTCAACGCTCTTGCGCAGCTGATGACTTGGAAGACAGCTGTCGCAAATCTGCCTTATGGAGGAGCCAAAGGGGGGATTGGCTGCGACCCAGGGGAGTTGACCAGGTCCGAGCTCGAGCGACTCACCAGGGTCTTCACTCAGAAGATTCACGATCTGATCGGTGTTCACACTGATGTTCCTGCTCCCGACATGGGAACGAATTCCCAGGTCCAATCTCTCCAACAACAAAAAGAAAAAAAAGATATTTTCCGCGAACAAATGAATATCCCTGGATTCCTTGAAAAGCATATTTCTTTCCTAATTTCCTCTTGATATTTCAGACTATGGCGTGGATACTGGATGAATACTCGAAGTTCCATGGTTACTCACCCGGGGTCGTGACGGGGAAGCCCGTGGTGATAATCACTGTTAATTTACCAATATAACCTCATTTAAATGCTTTTTTTATTTTTTTTGGGGGGAGGAGCTCATTTACATTCATATTTATTTTTGCCTAAAATTCTTCCTGATTTAAAAAAATTATGCCGATAATTTTGGCACCTTTGTTACTTGCTTAATTATTCCATTTAACTTCTTCTGCCAGGATTTGGGGGGTTCTCTGGGAAGAGAATCTGCTACTGGGAGGGGGGTCCTCTATGCAACCCAGGCCCTGCTCTCAGAACATGGCAAGACCATCTCTGGTCAACGCTTCGTCATCCAAGTAGCTACAACCGGGACTAATTCTTACTTTATAACTAATGTTCTTCTCATCCTTATAATCAATTATTCTTATTTTTTTTTCATTTATTTCCATTATTTGAAAAATAATTTCAGGGGTTTGGAAATGTGGGTTCTTGGGCCGCCCGGCTCATTGAAGAGGCTGGTGGGAGAGTGGTGGCAGTCGGAGACATCACCGGGGCCATCAAGAACGGTGGCGGGCTCGACATCCCCGGCCTGATCGAGCACTCATCAGGGAGACAGGGAGTCAATGGGTTTCAAGGTGGAGATCAGATTGACCCGGATGAGCTGTTGACTGAAGACTGCGACGTCCTCATTCCTGCCGCCCTTGGCGGTGTGATCAACAGGTTAGAATTCTCTCTGTTGGTGATTATAAGTAGGGCCGCCCTTGAATGGACCTGTTAAGTTGAAGCCCGACCCGAGGTCTCATATCCGGGCTCGGAAAATGAAGCCTGGAGATGATGGTGTTGGAAGGTACAGCAGGCCCGTGGGCCCATTTTCCAGATTTTTTTTAGGGAAATCCGGGCCGTTCCCGTAAAATTAAAGCTACTAGGCCCGGTTCTAGCTTTGGGGGGTTCCGGCTTTGAACCCTTTAGATGATGGTGTTGGAAGGCATAACCGGGCCTGCAGGCTTTTGTTGAGATCAGGCCTGGGCCTATTTGCCAGATTTTCTAAGTCAGTCTGGGTCGGGCCCGTAAAATTAAAGCTAGGACTTGCCCGGCCCGATGTCCGTGCAGGCTGTGTCCTAGCTTTGGCGGGGTCTGAAACAGCTGGACCTGCGGGCTTTTTTTTGGGTCAGGCCCATGGCCCCTTTTCGGCCCGTTGATTTTAAGCATGGCGTTGACTGAAAATCGTTGTGGTTCTGTTCAGGGAGAACGCGAAGGATATCAGAGCCAAATTCATCGTTGAAGCCGCCAACCATCCAACCGACCCAGAGGCTGACGAGGTCAGACTATGTGATGTCTTTGACTTTTCCTAAAATATCACACGCTGACTTGCCGTATATGGTTTATTTCGTTGACTATTGGCAGATCTTGTCGAAGAAGGGGGTGGTTGTCCTGCCGGATATATTTGCCAACTCCGGGGGGGTCACTGTTAGCTACTTCGAATGGGTTCAGGTAAAAGTAGTGGAATATTCTGAGCATATTCTAATGGTGATCGACCTCTCTCTCTCTCTCTCTCTCTCTCTCTAAAATAAGTGAGAAGTGAAGGGTCTGGCTGAGAGTCCATTTAGTGGGCTTCTCTTTAAAAGTGGAGCTTTCGGGATTTCTGGGTCCTGTAAAGCCGGTCAACTACTGACGCTGACTTCTGCTAGCCTGCTTCTCCCAGAATATCCAGGGCTTCATGTGGGATGAGGAGAAGGTCAACTCAGAGCTGAGGACCCACATGAACCGGGGCTTCCAAGATCTGAAGGAGATGTGTGAGACCCATGGCTGTGGGCTCCGCATGGGGGCCCTCTCTCTCGGAGTCAACCGGGTCGCCCGGGCCTCCATCCTCCGAGGCTGGGGGGCTTGAGAGAGAGAGAGAGAGAGAGAGAGAGAGAGAGAGAGAGAGAGAGAGAGATGTTAATGGACATTAGTGTTTAGATATTTACAAGAATAAATCAGTAAAAATAAATTTGGATGTGACAAAAGAAATGTCTAAGATGATTTTATGATGCTAATAATAATAAGATACCGTTTGATATTTAAAATAATTAATAATTATTTTATGAAAATAAAAAAATAACATTAAAATTTAGGTTAATTGTGCTCCATAGTTTTTACATATAAATTACTTAAAATAACTATCAATTGTTGTATAATGTGGCCATCAAATGGCCAGGATGCCTAGTGAGCGTAGCCTGGTTGGCTAAAGAAATATTGATTTCTGATGCTATTTGAACTATAGTAACAATAAGTAATTTATTTTTTTATGAGAGAAAAATAAAATAAAAATAATGGATTAAAAATTAGGCTGTTGGCGCTCCAAAGTTTTTATATAAAATTAAATTTTACCTAAGATAACTATTAATTATTATAAAATGTAGCTCTCAAATCGGTAGGGTGGTAAGTGAGCCAAGCATGGATGACATAAGAAATGTCGATTTTATGATACTATTTGATATTAAAAATAATTTATTTTGATTTGTATGAAAGTAAAAGAAAAAACAATTCAACATTAGAATATTGATGCTCTAACAATTTTATATAAAAATAATATTCATTTAATATAAAATTAATTATTGTATAATTTCTCAATTTTTTATGTAAAATTAAAGTTTACTTGATATAAGTATTGAAATTATTGTGTAATATGGCTCTCAAATGGGCAGGGTGGCCGGTGTGCCTGGCCTGCCTCAGGCCTTGGGCTGGCAGTTTTTTGGGCCGGCCCGTTAATATTTGGGCCCATATTTGACATGGCCAAAGTCAGCTCATCCTTCTTTAACCAATGGGGGGGGCCACAGTTGGTAGAGGCGGGCCCCGCCTGAGGGACAGACTACCACGCTTCTGCAGGTCCTCCCACCTACCTTCCCTGCTCAAGGGGGATCAAGCGGGAGGAACGGTGACGGAAGGGGAAGAAGAGGGGGACACTCTCTCTTCTACCTTCTGGCCCATCAGTCCCGGCCGCCGGCGGGTAAGCTTTCTCGTCTCGACCTCATGCTCTTCCATGGCTTCTGCGCTCTCCTCCTGTTCGTCCTCGGGGCGGCTGCGGCGGCGGCGGTGCGAGTGTTTGGGGGGTTGGGGCTGCATTGGTCGGCGAGTAAACTCACGCTTGTACGTGCATTCATAGTGCTGGAAGGCCGGAAGAGAATGGAGTGCTTTCGTTGGTGATCCGGGGGGGGGGGGGAGACGAGGCGGCGGAGCTGGAGATCTGTCTACTTATCGGAAGTTGGGCGGTGAGGGTAATAGCGGTCTCTAGTCGTTCGCTCGGGATGCTGAAATTTTAGTGGTAATATGGATTCGTCGTTGTCGGTGGTAGTGTCGGTGCTACCGTCGTCGTTCTCGTTCTTGTTCCGTCTGATCTGTCCATCTATTCTACTTAGAGTGGCGACAATCCCATTACCGGCGTGGATCTGGATGTCCCCTTTGCTCTCTTTCCTAAGCACGCGTCAGATTTCAGTCTACATCTGAAGTGGGAAGGCAATTACGAAATTTTTGTTTGGTTATTTACCTACAATTGTCGTGAATCTCGGACTCAAGTCTTCCTAGCCTTCTACGATCCCTCGTCTTTTTTATATCTTCCACGCTTTATCATCGCTGCGAGGATAGATCTCATCCTATTTTCTCTGACAGAAGTTATGTGGCGAAGCTTTCGAGAGCATTTCGTACCCTAAATCTATATTGTTGTTTTGAAATTTATAATCGGGAGAGAGATGGATAGACGTCGCATGATAAAAATACGTAGAAAATGCAGAGAATAGAGAGGATCATGATATGTGGACGAACTGATATCTGTCTTCTTATCATCTCTTTCCTCTGTGCACCGTTCCAAATGCCTTTTACTTTTTTCTTGGGGTAATCTCCAACATATAAACTACGACATTCGATTGTTTAGGAAAATAGAGCTATGGAGCCGATGGAAGGCACCTAAAAGAAGCTTTACAAGCGACTGAAACCTGAGCCTTCCTGCCCTCTTTGGTAACATGGACGATTACATCAATAGTTAACTTCAACCTTGTTGCTTTGTTCCAGAGTTTGGATTGGATCATCATGCCTTCAAATCAGGACTCTACTGGCAATCACAGTGCCTTGCAGAAGAATAGAGGGAGCAGCAGTTTCTTCTGTTCTAATTTTGCTCGTTTCCTCTTCCTTGCTGTTATCATCCCTGTGGTGGCATTGCAAATCATCCAGACTCCTATAAATGGTAAGCCTGTTGTTCTAGTCCTCGTTTCTCTTTCTCCTATAAATGGTAAGCCTGTTGTTTTAGTCCCCTAATTCGTTGGTTTTCTATCTGGGATTTCTCCATTGCTCTGTGGTTTCTCTGCTTCGACCTCTGTTAATTATGTGGAGCTCATGATATCTGCTTTTCTTTTTTGTTTCGCTCGGGAAGTTATGCTATTTTTTCATTAAATCTCCTTGATTGGATTCTTTTATATACAAAAATCATTTTTCCGTTTTGAATCTAGTTCGGAGTTACAGAACCTGATATGTTTTAAAACTCAAAATATGTACAATCCCATGAACCCTACATTGCTGAGCAATGACTGACGTGAGCTTCATGCTGCTTATCACGATTGCTTGGAATTCACTTCATTCTTGTCCCCATATTTAATATAAATAAATTTACATGTTTACAAGCAAGATCACGCGTACTGGGAAATAAAATTAAAAGAAATACGAATAATCATATCTCCTCCATAATGTGGGTACCTCAGATCTTCACGAAAGTTCCTTTGGCTCCTAGTTTTTTTTCTGGGAATCGCTGGATGTAACAAGTGCATGCAGAGATGGATTAGCATGATGAACGAAATATATATCAATTTAAATACGAAGCTAAGATTCTACACACCTGTACTTAATTTGGACGATAAATGTTAGTGAAGTAGTCATGGGTCACTACTTTATCATTAGATAATAACCAAAATTTTCGATTTATTTTAAATCGTGTTTTCCATATAATTATAGGTTGTACTATGGGAAAGTATCTTGTGATAAGTATGTTCATAAAATCTCAAATCACGTCATTTGATTTCTCTGTGGCCATACACCATCTGATTTCCTCTTTTTATCATTATTTTTTTTTCCCCTGGTTGGGGATTATCCTTTATCTCACTCTATCTTACGCACGCAAAATTAAAATATGATTGTCCAAATCCTGTGATAAATGAAGAATACAAGATCTTCAAACCAAAAGAAGTATTTGCATAGATCATTAGTTCTCTAAAAAAAATCCTTTCTGCTTCTCTCTACATTTATATTATTATTATTATTATTATTATTATTATTATTATTATTATTATTATTATTATTATTATTATTATTATTTTATTTTGGTAAGTTGGCTCAGTAGATTTGATTGAGAAGTTCTATTTATTTTCCAGATGAAACAGATGCTTCAAACTCGTCTAGCTCAACGGTACCAACCTTCTTTTGGATGAATCCCTTCCCCTTGCTCCCTTTTTTTTATCTGACGCCATTTTCTGGCAGATTGATTGGAGAGACCGGCTGGCCATGCAACATATTAAATCTCTGTTAACCAAGGAGGTGGGTCCAGCCATACATTTTATGTACTCTTTCGTATGCAAGTTCTTCCTCATTGATGTTGATTTTTTTTTCCTTTTCAGGTAATATATTCTGTGTTGACTACCAACTTTCATTTAGACTGATAGATCATAGATAGTTTGGAGTGACGCAAACCATACAAGGATAAACATTCCGGAAAAATCTCTTCTACTTCTCAAATGATAGAACAGTCGCTATTTGAATACAATTACGCTGGCCACAAAAAGAAGAAACTACCTAGATTAAGGAAACTGACCGAGAGAAACTAACTCCTAGTGGCACGTTTTTCCCACATAGAAGAAACTGGTTCTGAGGTAGCCATGCTGCACTCTTTCAATCATTTGATAAGATCATGAGACACTGCCAAGATAGCACATACATTGACCACAGTTAAGTGAATGATTGCTCTACTGAATCCGCGGAGGACATTGACTTTTCAGGGTGAGGAGTGGGGAAGAGGCACGATTGATAATCTTCTTGGAGGTAACCTACTTGGAAGTGATGAAGGTAGTTTGTGAGATTCCTGGGATTGTAAAACTTTTGAAGAAACGTCATTAATTAGAACACTTGGATCACTTTTTTGAAATACCTGCAGGAAGTCATGAACCTCTTGATGTTCCAAGGAAGAATGAGCGGCGGGTAAGGTTCCTAATCTCCAACCACATTGTCCCTGGATTGAAATGTATTATATTACATTGCCAACGGATCGTGCTGATTCCAAAGACCCACCATGATCCTCTACGATCATTTGACCCGGCGTGGAAACTTCTTGTCAAACAGTGACTAATCTACATTTCCAATAATATATGCATATTTGTATAGCTGGCTGTTGAGATCTCTGCATTTCATATGTTTATTATGAGTCATTTGCATCCAGAAACTGAGCGAGGGAGGTAGCGAGAATGAGCAGGTTCCAGATGAAGATGAGGTGATTGTAAGACTCGAAAACGCCGCCATCGAGCGCTCGAGCGCGGTGGACTCCTCCGTGCTCGGGAAGTACGGCCTGTGGCGGCGGGAGAACGATAACGGGAACTCCGACAAGGTAGTGCGCCAGCTGAGAGAGCAGTTTATCGTCGCCAGGGTGTTCGCGCCCCTCGCAAAGTCGAAGAACAAGCTCGACCTGTTCGAAGAACTGACGGCCCAGCTCAAGGAGAGCCAGCGGGCCCTTGGGCGGGCCATCTTTGACTCTGATCTTCAACTCAGGTTCTTCAAAACTTGCTCTTTCTTGATAGGTCAACGCCACCTGTTCTTGGAGCTTTTTTTCAATTTCTTTTTTTTTTTCCTGAATCTTTGAATTGGAATCCGCCCAGTGCTCAAGAGAGGATCAAGGCCATGGGACAGGTTCTCGATAGATCCGGAAAGGAGCTCTACAACTTCCAGGAGGTGACCCAGCAACTGAGGCTCATGTTTCAGTCAGCGGACGACAAGGTCCGGAGCTTGAAGAAGCAAAACCAGATTCTTAGTCAACTGGCAGCAAAAACGATCCCTGCTGGCATCCACTGTCTGTCCCTCCGCCTGACCATCGACTACAATCTCCTCCCACCGGAGAAAAGGAGGTTCCCTCAGACCGAGAGGCTTGAGGACTCTTCCCTCTATCACTACGCCGTCTTCTCGGACAATGTCCTGGCCGCCTCTGTTGTGGTCAACTCCACCGTTGTCAACGCCAAGGTAGGCAAAGAGGAAGCGGCGGCTCATCTCTCCCCACTTCATGGAATTCCCACGTTGACCCTCATGGTGCATGCAGGAGCCTGAGAAGCACGTTTTCCACGTGGTCACTGACAAGCTCAACTTCGGGGCCATTAGCATGTGGTTCCTGCAGAACCCGCCTGGGAAAGCGGCCATCAACGTGGAGAACGTGGACGAATTCCGGTGGCTCAACTCCTCTTATTCGCCGGTTCTCCGCCAGCTGGAGTCCGCCTCCATGAAGGAGTACTACTTCAAGGCCGGCCAGCCGGCGAGGCTCTCTGCCGGCGATTCTGCTCTCAAGTACCGCAATCCCAAGTACCTCTCCATGCTGAACCATCTGAGATTTTACCTGCCGCAGGTCTACCCAAAGCTCAGGAAGATCCTCTTCCTCGACGATGATGTCGTCGTGCAGAGGGATTTGACTGGGCTGTGGGAGGTTGACCTTAATGGCAATGTCAACGGGGCAGTGGAGACCTGCGGGGAGAGCTTCCACCGCTTTGACAAGTACCTCAACTTCTCGAACCCTCTCATCTCCAAGAACTTTGACCCTGATGCCTGCGGCTGGGCCTATGGAATGAACATCTTTGATCTCGAGGAGTGGAGGAAGAAGGACATCACCGGCATCTACCACAAATGGCAAAATCTGGTGAGTCAACCATAGAACCCATCCTCCTTGGAATCTTCTGTTTTCATGCTTGACTGCAAATCTCGTAGGAAATCTTGTCTGGTTCATTGGTTGATCGAAAATCTGATAGGAAGTCTGTTAGGTCAGTCAGTTGGCTAAAATCTCATCGGAAATCTTGTCTGGTTGGTTGACTAAAATATCTCGGGTGAAATGTAGTAAGTTGACTAAAATGTCATAGAAAGTTGACTGAGAATCCTCAGTGAAATGTGACACTTTGACTGGAAACCTAATATGTAATCTAGTAGGTTGAGGAAGATCCAGCATGAGCTCGGGCAGATTGGCTAAAAGATTCATGAGAAATAATGTGCATTAGTTGACACAAAACAAAACAGAAACCCTCAGTTGAAACCTACCTAGTAAGTTGACCAGAAACCTCGCATGGAGCCCAAAGAGGAATGCGGGTTGACTAAAGATTACCCGCTCTGAATTTACACCCTGAGTTGACCAGAAATCTGATATGAAATCATGTGCATTGGTTGACGCAAAGCAGAACCAAAAACCTCTGCTGAAGCCTACCTAGTAAGTTGACCCAAAAAACCTCTCATGAAATCTTGTGCATTGGTTCACTCAAAGCAAAACAAAAACCTCTGCTGAAACCTACCAGTAAGCTGACCTTAAAACCTCGTATGAAACCAAAAAGGAATGCAGGGGAGTTGACTAAAAAATCGACTCTGAGATTGAAATTACACTGAGTAGACCGGAAAAATCTCATACGAAGTCAACTGCCACGCAGAACGAAGACCGGGCGCTGTGGAAGCTGGGGACGCTGCCGCCGGGGCTGATCACCTTCTACAAACTGACCCAGCCGCTCGACAAATCGTGGCACGTGCTGGGGCTCGGCTACAATGGGACCCTCGACCATGCTGTGATCGCCAAGGCCGCCGTGGTCCACTTCAACGGCAACATGAAGCCCTGGCTGGAGATCGCCATGGCCAAGTACAGGCACTACTGGACCAAGTACTTCAAGCAGGATCACCCCTACCTCAGCAGTTGCAGCCTCAGCTGAACACCCCAGCCTGCCTCTCTCTCTCTCTCTCTCTCTCTCTCTCTCTCTCTCTCTCTCTCTATCTCCCTCTCTCTCTTCCTCTTCTTGTCTTGTTGGCTAAGTGGATGAAGACATCCTCTTACTCTGTATAGAGTCGTTCGAAGGAGTCGGCATTCTTCATGACTCCAGTACACCAATGTCGTCTCTCTCTCTCTCTCTCTCTCTCTCTCTCTCTCTCTCTCTCTCTCCCGCTTCCTGTGTTGCTGAGTAGATGAAGACATCCTCTGCTGGTGGGTGATCCACTTACTCTGTAGAGTTCTTTGATTCGGTTGGCATTCTTCATGACGCCAGTACACTCCTGTCGTCTCTCTCTCTCTCTCTCTCTCTGGACATGGCGAGCGTACCCATCTCAGTAAAAGGAGACTGTATGAAGACCCTTTGTAGAAATATGATTTCATATGTTATTTTAGGTTATTTGACTACTTGCTCTCGTAATGTCATATGCTCTGACCCCCTCATGGTGTTCAGGTCGGCTTTTCTTTCTAATGCTAATAATATGATTTTGCTTGTTTTTTATTAATAAATATGATATTCTTACGATGATATTAAATTAAATCCGATGACTAGTTTGAGTTGGGTGCGTGAATAGACATTTTACGAAATAAATATACAAAATTAATAAAATAATAGATAGGCGTGACTTGAGGGCTAAACGCCATTTGGTGGGCTTCCGGTGGGCCCCGCAAGATTCGCGAGGCCCGGCCCGACCGGTTCAGAACCATAATATTTTACACGTTTTCTAAATGGGGAGGGTTCAGGGGGCGGCTGCCGCGTGTCCCTACGCCAATTACGCACGGGGATTCCTGGCGGCGGCCTCCCCTGGGTCACGTGACCCCGCCCCAGCCGCTTTCCATCTCTCTCTAGAGAGAGAGAGAGAGAGAGAGGGCCTTCCATGAGATCAAGTTAATCACGGGCGCTCGGGGCCAATCATCACCTTATCGTTACCAGACTGACCGTGCAGGCGGAAAAACCGCTGCCACAGAGGACAGAGAGAGAGAGAGAGAGAGGAGAGAGGAGAGGGTGGAGCTTCTTTCATGGTGGACCCCTGTGGTAACCTCACTTATCTCCACGCCCGGGAATGGAGGAGGAAGAAGCGGGAGATTTAACTGCTCCGATAGTTTTTACAGGGCAGGTAAGAGGAGAGGAGAGAGAGAGAGAACTAGATAAGGGGGAAGAACAGTTCAACCTAACTGCTTTCTGAAACAACTCTCTCTCTCTCTCTCTCTCTCTCTCTTTCGCTGGGCCAGTCGTGGAGGTTAAAAAGTCCGGGGTCGTCGTCGAGGTGGAGGGGCTCTTATTCCTGGCTGTCGTCTTCCTCTGCTACTCCCCTTCGATCTCTTCCTGTTCGGGATTCTGGATTCTGTGATCGCAGGAGAAATCGATTGGGAGGAGGATCCGGCTGCATTCCCCGCCGGCGCCGCCGATCGCTGCCGGGGCATGAAATGCCCGGCGGATTCAGGTGAGCGATCTCCCCGCCGAGCGATTGTGATGAGGGTTCCGACGAGGAAATCCCTCTGCCCCTCCCCTCTCGTCTGCTTCTCCAAGTCCTCCGTCGGCCTCTATCCCGGTCCCTCCCTCCTCGAATCGGACGATGGCGGCGGTGACGGAGCGCCGGAGCCGCCCCCTCCCGCCGCCGAGGAGGCACCGCCGCCGGAGGAGAAGCCGGAGGAGAAGCTGGAGGAGGTCAGAGTCGAGGTCTTCCTGAGAAGCTGCATCAGGAAGCCGGGGAAGGTGGAGGACGAGGAGGAAGAAGACGGTACCAACGAGGCCGTGAAGAGGAGAGTGAAGTGGATCGATTCCATGGGGAAAGAGCTCGTCGAAGTCAAGGAATACGAAGCCAGGTACTTCCCCTTCTTCTTCCTTTTCTTCCTGATCTTCTCTGGTTCCTCCTTCCTCGGAATTTCCCCCTTCTTCCTCCTCGAATCCCCTCTGATTCAGGCACCAATCCTATCCATCAACACTCGTCTCCATCTCAATCTACCTGCGTCTCTACGTTTTCGTGGAGAGTTCCTCCTTCCGAGGACCGTAGGCGTTTGATCCACAACAAGGGGCAAAACCAGTTTGCCAGTGATTAAACGCTAGGAATGATCTGATCCTGCCCGTCACGGATCATATGAGACGATGATGATGATCACCCATGCCGTAGATCACAGAGGATCAGAAACCAGGTCTCCATGAGTGGATCAAAAACATGTTCTTCCCTTGTTTTTCCTCATAGGAAGGATCAAACGTTAGGTGGGCGCAGATTAATTAGAAAATACCCGGTTGGTTTAACACCCGATAAATAAATCTCACCCAGTGGGGATCATCTTGTTGTTCTTCGTCGGTGCCAGATTAGGGTTTTTATTGGAGAATATTGCAGAAATTTCCGTTAATTTTCTTCGTTCCCTCGGTTTTGCGCTCTATCCCGCAGGTATCAACCGATTATTGAAGAGTCTCGTCCGAAATCCGGCGAGTTGACTAAGAATCCAGCCTAAATCCTGCTTAGTTGACCAAACTCATCTGAAATCCTGCGCGTTGGCTAAAAGGAAATGTGCCATTTTTAGGCCGCAATTAAAGAACAATTATCTTCATAATTTCCTTTTTCCCCTGCTTTTTAATTATTTCCCTAATATTTCGGCATCATCTTCTCAATTACCGCGGAGGGAGTCTTTAGAGTCGCAGCTCGCGCTTGTCAACTGAGCGTAAGGCCCCGGCCCGGGCCGGGAGAGCAGCCCCATTTTTCGGGCCCTATAATGGGCCTCCGGCTGGCCCGGCCCGTCGTCTATAATACATATAGATGATGTGATTTATTTTCTTGTGATTAATTTAATCTCATTTCTTTTTTAATTCAGCCATTATGGTGACTCAGAGGATGACGGTAATCCAGGTTGCGTCTGCACCATCCAATGACTCTGGGCCAAGCAGAATCCATCGAGAGGGCCGTCTGATCGCTGATCCCCCCTAAGCATGGTCGACGATGATCTCCTCCCTCGCCACGTGGATCCCCCCCCGGCGGCGTACCGATTCCAGATGCCCGAACGGCGGAGAGTTGATTTCAGAGCGATAGCGGAGGCCGACTGGGCATTTATCGGTCAATTTCGATCCAGCTGGGGCCAGGGGGTGGGGCCCGCTCAATGGCCAGAGAATTTTGCTGACATAAATATTTTGTTATATAAATGGGTTTTACAGGAGTGCCTGAGATGACGTAGGTGCGCGTCAAGTGTTCTTGACAGCGTCGTTTTGTTCTCGGAAGGGAAAAAAAATCGATTTTTCCTCTCTCTCTGTCTCTGTCTCTCTGTCTCTCTGTCTCTCTGTCTCTCTGTCTGTCTCTCTCTCTCTCTCTATCCATGATAGGTGATTGTTTGGTGGGTGGCGTGATCGTTCAGCAAGAGAGAGACGGCCAAGCTATAATCTGTCTCTTGTTCTCGGTCAGATCAGATTCTCAGAGTCAACGGGACGGGCCGGGCCCGTATATCCCTTCCGTGGCCCGAAACATATCGGGGAAAAAAGCCTATAAAATGGGCTTTGGCGAGAGAGAGAGAGAGAGGGTATATTCGCCATTTTAGATACTCTTTGCTGAATGAATCTCTGAAAATTGAGTCAAGAATATACTTATGATTTGCCATAAAAGCCCTTGGTACTTTTTTTACAGATCAAAATACCCCTGCAGGGATTGACTATGAGGGTGTATTTGTCAATTTCATTTTTTGATTACGTGTCGTACAGAGACGTGTACGTGTATACATACGAGGGACCCGTTGTGACCATATTTTATGGAGATTATTTTTTTGCCAAATATCCTAAAAATAGCCCGCGAAGGCACGGAAGAGGTTCGGGGGGGCCCTTGCTCACGCCATCCTAATTTCTTCCGAGTATTATTTTTTATATGTAATATTTTATAAATTGCTTAACTCTCTCTCTCTCTCTCTCGCCAAAGCCCATTTTATAGGCTTTTTTCCCGGATATGTTTCGGGCCATGGAAGGGATATACGGGCCCGGCCCGTCCCGTCCCGTTGACTCTGAGAATCTGATCTGACCGAGAACAAGAGACAGATTCAAATTTTTTTTGGGCCGACCCGAGTGGGCCTCAACCTGGGTGGAGTCCTTGCGTCCTTATGGGCTTCAAAACCTGGGTTTCATTGAAATCGGGGGTAGGCCCAATAAGTACATGACTGATGACTCATATTTAGAGAGAGAGAGAGAGAGAGAGAGAGATCAGTGGTCGTAAAGACGGCGCCTTTCGGGCGGCCGGCCGCCGCCCAGACGGCAAATCTGAGGGCCCTCGAGGGTCCCAAATTCCGTGGATGATCCGATCTGACGGCTGACGATCAGTCTCCCTAGGCCCGTTGAAAGGATTTGAACAACATGGGGCCCACGGTTCTCGGTGGACTGAGTTGCGTATTGCCTTTTTGTGGGGCCCACTCACCGAAAGGCTCCCCTCCATATGCCTGGAGGGTGGTTTTTACAAATAAACGCAATAAAAACATTTTAATACATATTGACTTAAATTTATTTATATTGTTAAATTGACATTATTCATACGCAAATTTGGATAGGAAAGAGAGATTTGTGAATTATATGACATAAAAATATAAATGAATATTATAATGAGATATTATGAAATAATTAACGTAAAATTATAGTTTGGCTATAGAAGAGTGTCTTATGTTATGAATGGACGGAAGCGTCTAAATAGAGATGACATATACGTAATTGTTTTGGAAACTGGGCTTATTTGCAACGTTACATCTAAGGAGAAGAAATCGCAATAAACCCATAAAAACTATTTTTAGAAAATTATTATGCGCCGAGGTCCAGGCCTACACATAATATCAAGGAAATTGGGAACTTTTTGAAATGTTAATTCTTAACAGGGCTGTCTACTAAAGAGCCAAGTTCCAGAGATCGGCAGCGCCATGTCAGCATCCGACCTGGCAAAAGTTGGCGGGTATGATGGGCTGTTAAATCTTTTTTGCTCCCTTCTCCCACTCCTTCAACAACAACCACCACCACCACCACCGCCGCCACCGCCGCCACCACCGCCGCCGCCACCCCCGGCGCAACCACCATCGCCGCCGCTGCTCCTCCCCTGATTTCTAGCGCCGGTCACCGCCAATCTTTTTTCCAACTTTCTCTCTCCTGGTCGTCATCCCGCCACCTTACTCCCCACCAGTTGCAGATTCTTCTCCTCAGGATCATCCTTCCTCCAGCCTCGCGGCAATCCTCATCATCGGCTGCCGCAGAAGTGACGCTTCCCACGGCCTCCGTTCTCTTCTTCCTCGTCCTCTCCTGCTCGAGGTTTGAGTTCCCCGGTCGGATGATCGCCGCCGAGTAGCCGTTAAGCTGATGGTCTGTAATCTAGCCTCTGCCTGCAGTCCCGTCATCTTCTTTCGCGCTTCTGTAGATTCCGATCTCTACCTTATCTCCTCTCCAGATTGTTTCAGTTTTTCTCCCGGTGGTTTGATCATTAGGGAACGCCGGTGAACATTGTCGTCGGTTCGCATGTCTGGACAGAGGACCCGGAGCTCGCTTGGATCGACGGGGAGGTCACGGAGATCAAGGGCGGCAACGCCAAGATACTCACCGCCCATGGGAAGACGGTGAGTCAATTCTCGTATGGACTGATGCTAGCTTCATTTCCATATCCTCGTTCTCGGACAAACATGGTTGGATCTTCTTCGATTTCCCTTTTTCACTCAAATTTCTTTGAATATTGAGAAATCGGGCGATCCCACGGTTGACTTTGAATCTGCTTATGATTTACATGGCCGTGAAAGAAATTAATCGTTTAGATCCGATCGATGGCGAGAATCACATCATTTCAATGTAGACAAAATTATTCTCTCTCCTCTCTCTCTCTCTCTCTCTCTCTCTCTCTTCCTTTCCTCGTTAATTACAGCTCTTTTCGCCATGGAAACAAACTCTGGATCTTGTTGATTTGCATCCTTCATAATCGCAGTATGTTTTGTTTTGGTGGATTACAGATTGTGGCGAGGTTGTCCGATATTTATCCAAAGGATACGGAGGCTCCTCCAGCCGGGGTTGATGACATGACCAAGTTAGCCTACCTCCATGAACCAGGAGTTCTTCAGAACCTTGCATGCCGCTTTTCCCTCAATGAGATATATGTACGATCTCTTCTTCTTCTTCTTCTTCTTCTTCTTCTTCTTCTTCTTCTTCTGCTGCTGCTGTTGCTTCTGCTAATCTGGTTTTCTTCGGAATGTATCAACAGACATACACAGGGAACATCCTGATTGCTGTGAATCCCTTCCGGAGACTCCCTCACTTGTATGACGTCCACATGATGGAGCAGTACAAGGGGGCAGCCTTCGGAGAGCTCAGCCCCCACGTCTTTGCTGTCGCGGATGCTTGCTTCAGGTTGGGATGAACAATTGAAAAACTTGAGAAAAGAAGAAAAAAAATTCTCATTCGCCATATCCTCACGCGTCTACTCTTTCCATGGCTGCTTTAATCCAGGGCCATGATACATGAGCAAGGAAGCCAGTCTATCTTAGTGAGCGGGGAGAGTGGCGCCGGAAAGACAGAGACGACGAAGATGCTCATGAGGTATCTCGCATTCATGGGAGGAAGAACAGGCACCGAGGGAAGAACAGTGGAGCAGCAGGTCCTAGAGGTAAATTTTTGTCTTCCATTATCAGAGAATGACGAAGAACAAAAGAGCAAGATAAGATTCTGACTGTGAATAATCTCGCGCAGTCCAATCCGGTTCTGGAGGCGTTCGGGAACGCGAAAACTGTGAAGAACAACAATTCTAGGTGTGAAATTCGACCTCCGCTATCTTCCGACCTCGCAGGGAATTGCTCTGGAACCTCTTCTGACGCATCAAATTCCATGCGATCCGTTATAACAGCCGCTTTGGGAAATTCGTGGAGATCCAGTTCGACAGGCACGGGAAGATTTCTGGTGCCGCGGTGAGGACTTACCTTCTCGAGCGCTCCCGGGTCTGCCAGGTTTCCGATCCCGAGAGGAACTATCATTGCTTCTACATGCTCTGCAACGCCCCCCCAGAGGTACGAACGTGCCCATCTTCCCCTGAATCCGCATCAACTTCAGATATTCTGGAGCTGCGCGAGGTTAATCCCCACTGATGAAAGTAGCGGAAGTTCTTCAGGACGTTAAGAGGTTTAAGGTAGGGGACCCGAGGCAATTCAGATACCTGAACCAGACCAATTGCTATGAAGTAGCCAATGTCGACGATTCCAGAGAGTATCTGCAAACCAGAAACGCCATGGATATTCTAGGGATCGATCAGGAGGAACAGGTCAGTGGGGTTCTTCGGCTTCTGGCTGAGTCCACGTACTGAGCAAAACCTGACCTTCGGCCTCGTTTTCCCAAGCTCAGGACGCCATATTCAGGGTGGTTGCCTCGATCCTCCATCTGGGGAACATCGAATTCGCCAAGGGCAATGAGGTCGACTCGTCAAGGTTGAAGGATCAGAAGGCGATCTCACACCTCAAGACGGCCGCTGAGCTGCTCATGTGCGTTGACTTCTTCTCCCATCGCACCAATCTGTCCCGTGGAGCCTACCTCTCATGAACAAGAAAAAATAATCATCGCACTCTACTCTGATGCAAAATGGATGATTTAGGTGTGATGAGAAGCAGCTTCAAGACTCTCTCTGCGAGAGGGTGATTGTGACACCAGATGGAAACATTACAAAGCCACTTGATCCAGAATCGGCTGCTCTGAGTCGTGATGCCTTGGCGAAGACTGTGTATTCCAGGCTATTCAACTGGTAAGTAGCATGAAAATAAAACCTCCATATTTTTTCCATTCTTCTCCGGTCTAAACCATGGTGATTGAGGAAGAACTGCCCCCAATCTTATATAATTATCTATTATTTTAACGAGATTACAGCGGTAAATATAAGAAATATATTTCTTGTGCCCTGATCTGACTTGCCCTTTCCTATGAAATGACCCCAGGATCGTGGACAAAATTAACAGCTCCATTGGGCAGGATCCTAATGCAGTAAGCATCATCGGCGTACTTGATATCTATGGCTTTGAGAGCTTTAAGATCAACAGGTAAACCGTGTGAGAAACACATTTTCTTCAAGCTGAACCGTGGCGATGCTTTAATTAATCACAAAAGGCTTCTTATTCCGGCTGATAAAGTTTCCGTCTTCTAGTTTTGAGCAGCTGTGCATCAACCTTACCAATGAGAAGCTACAACAGCATTTCAATCAGGTAAGGATCAAAGTATCAATTAAATGGAATTAAAATATGAGTGATATCTGCCTTTTCTAACCGGGTTGCATATTTTCCAGCACGTATTTAAAATGGAGCAGGAGGAATATACGAGGGAAGAAATCGACTGGAGTTATGTCGAATTTGTGGATAACCAGGACGTGCTTGATCTGATAGAAAAGGTACTTCAATAAGAATCTTTAGTGTAAGATAATTTTTTGAAGAAAAAAAGGACTCTTCGTCAATAATCATCTTTATTCCCTGACAGAAACCGGGTGGAATAATTGCGCTCCTCGATGAAGCATGGTATGACCATGTTGTAGAGATATTCTCCGCGTGAGCATTTCCTTCGCAACCGTCATTCTTGACCGCCCTTCTTGCAGCATGTTCCCGAAGTCAACGCATGAGACATTTGCCCAGAAGATGTACCAGACGTATAAAGGGCACAAGCGTTTCAGCAAACCGAAGCTAGCTCGAACTGCCTTCACCGTAAATCATTATGCTGGAGACGTAAGAAAACTGGGGTAAATATGTCGATGAATATGTGAGAAGTTAAATGAGCATGGATTTGTGATATAAAATGTCTTCCCTTTGGCAGGTAACTTACCAAGCTGACCAATTCTTGGATAAGAACAAGGATTATGTTGTTGCAGAGCATCAGGCCTTGCTCAATGACTCCAAGTGCCCGTTCGTCGCAAATCTCTTCCCCCCATTAGCAGAGGAGTCTTCCAAGCAGTCCAAGTTCTCTTCCATCGGCACTCGCTTTAAGGTACGTTGACCTGTGAGAAAGAAGGCAGAAGTCAAAGTCAGCCCCGTATTAATTTCTAATCCCCAGCCTTTATCTTGATCTCGAAAACAACAGCAACAATTGCAATCTCTCATGGAAACCCTCAGCACCACAGAGCCCCACTACATCAGATGCGTGAAGCCCAACGCCGTTCTGAAACCCGCGATCTTTGAGAACTTCAACGTCTTGAGTCAACTCAGATGCGGGGTACGTCACAAATCCGTACATTCCCCTGATTTTAGTTTCCCCGTTTTACTTTTCTTATGATCGTAACAGGGAGTTCTTGAGGCGATCAGAATAAGTTGCGCCGGGTATCCCACAAAGAGAACATTCGACGAGTTCCTCGATCGCTTTGGAATGCTTGCACCGGATGTTCTTGATGGGTATCCCTTTTATCCTCTGAAAAAGCCTCAGAAACGATCAATGAGAAACCTTGGCGCGGGATCGTGGACTGATACATTGTTTCTCTCTTTCATTCTTTCATTGGCAGCTCTGACGAGAAGTCTGCGTGTGCTGCCATCTGTGACAGGATGGGTCTGAAAGGATATCAAGTAAGTCTGGTGCAAGTGGATTATCTTGAACAATTTTCTCGAAGAATTAGAATTCGATTTCCATGAACATGAAGAACGAAGGTGTTTCTGGCTCAGATTGGGAAGACGAAGGTGTTTCTGAGGGCCGGGCAGATGGCTGAACTGGATGCCCGAAGGATTGAGATCTTGGCCAACGCTGCCAAACTGATCCAGAGACAGATACAGACCCATCTGACCAGAAAACAGTTCGTCATCCTGAGGAAGGCCGCCATTCAGTTCCAGAAGCTTCGGAGAGGTTTCTCACTCATCCATGATCCCATTCCGCGAATAAAACAGGTTTTCAGTTGGTGACAGAGATTTTTTTATTTTTTTTCTCTATCTCTCTCTTAATCCAGCGGTACTTGCGAGAAAGCTCTATGAACAGATGAGGCGGGAAGACGCTTCCGTCAAGATACAAAAGAATTTGCGCTCACGCAGAGAAATAAAGGCTTACACCAATCTAAGGGCATCGGCGGTCGTTGTACAGACAGGTTTACGGGCCATGGCTGCTCGTGATGAGTACAGATACCGAAGGAGAACAAAGGCGGCCATAATTATCCAGGTTTTTTTTCAAAAATTAAAAAGTTACTTTCTCATGCTGGACGGGATTAGCATGCTTCCCTGCTTCATCATAAGAACACAACCAAAAGAAGTAATTTTAACTCTAAATTAGTTAAAAAAAAACTTAATCAGGAGTTTCTCTAGCTTATCCTGCACAGATTTTCAAAGAATAATTTAGTGATTCAACGTTTTTCTCAGACTCACTGGCGGAGATACCGAGCGCATTTCACCTACAAGCAGCAGAAGCAGGCGAGCTTAACGCTTCAATGTCTCTGGAGGGGACGCGTAGCAAGAAAGGAGCTCAGAAAGCTCAAGATGGTGAGTTTTGCCTGCCAGAATGGAGCTTTGTAGTTCCCATTTGATTCATCTTCATCTGTACCTGTGCTTGCCATTGGAAGTAGATCGCCATGTTCTTCCTTCTCTACCCAGGCCGCCAGAGAGACCGGGGCTCTCAAGGAAGCCAAGGACAAGCTGGAGAAGAAGGTCGAAGAGCTCACATGGCGATTAGAGCTTGAAAAACACTTGAGGGTGAGTGAAGCGTCATCTTTTTGTTTCCAACTAGGGTTCTATGGAGATGGTTGATCCACGGCTTCTGTTCAGGCCGACCTCGAAGAAGCGCAAGCGCAAGAAATCGCACGGCTGCAGTGTTCTCTGCAAGAGATGCGAGAGCAGCTGGACGAGGCCAACGCCGCCATCGCTCTAGAAAAAGAGGCTGCGAGGAAGGCGATCGAGGAAGCGCCTCCGGTGATCAAGGAGGTGCCCGTCACTGACAACACCATGCTGGAATCATTGACAAACCGCAATAACAAGCTCGAGGTTCGTATTCTTGCAGACTGATTTACCTCCATCTTTTTTTCATTTACTTCTCCAGGTTATAGAGATTGAGGGTTCATCATCTACCTACAATGCGTTCCAATCAAATTGACTTTGAATCAATGCAGGAAGAACTGAGCGAATTCAAGATCAAGTCCGACGAATTTGAGAGAAAGTTCTCCGAGGTACAGAAAAAGAATGAATCGCTGCTCAAGGAGACGGAGGAATCACAGCTGAAGATGGGTCAGCTACAGGAAATGATTGACCGGTAGAATCTGATGATTTCTCTCTTTCTATATTATATTCTATAAAGCCAATGATCATAAATGTCCGTGGTTTTTCTTCACCTGGCAGGCTCGAGGCAAATCTCTCCAGTCTGGAATCTGAGAACCAGGTTCTACGGCAGCAGGCTTTAGTAGCCTCAGCAAACGAAGATCTCTCAGAAGAAATTAACAAGTCAGTGAAAATAATTATTTACCCGAATTCCAGCATTATTTTCTATGAAACGTATCTAATCGGACGTTTTATTTTTTTAATTTTCAGTCTTGAGATCAAGATTGCAAAACTAGAGTCAGAGAACGAACTGCTCCGAAATCAGTCAGTAGAAGCAACAACAGAGATGCTGAACCTTGACTCAGATCGGCCAGCAGTAACAGAGGTATGCTTTTCAATGGGTGTTCTACCTGACAGAGGTATGCTTTGCAATGGGTGTTCTACCTGCTTCGAACTTACTCAAACATTCTTATTGATACTTGGCGAAGGTTCAGATCCTTGGAAATGGCCACAAAGTCGCCGAAGAACTCAAACCGAGTAAAGTAAGCGCGATTAATGAAAAATTGATTCCTTGGTGCATGAAATTACTTCTAAATCGGCCACTGAACCCTAAACTGAATTCGGATTCCCCCAAAAGGATTCGTCGGGAGAATTGCTTGCATCTGCGCTGAGTAAACAGAAGTCGTTGACCGACAGGCAGCAGGTTTGCATTCAATCCAAGTTTCTTTTATTTTATTTTATTTTATTTTATTTTATTTGCCTAAGAAACTATTATCCTGTTCTTGAGGAAAATCTCGATACCCTCATCAAGTGCCTAGCGGAAGACAAGCGATTCGACGGGACCAGGCCTGTAGCCGCCTGCATTGTCTACAAATCACTGATACAGTGGCGATCATTCGAAGCGGAGAAGACAACCATATTCGATCGCATCATCCACACGATAAGATCGTCCTTGGAGGTGACCGATCTTCCGGTTAAAACCCAGAATGAACATTCGTCCGTTGAACCTCACTCGTATCTCTCATGATTTATCTCAGAACCAAGACAATGTGGGGGAGCTCGCTTATTGGCTCTCGACGGCATCGACTCTTCTGTTCTTGGTGCAGAGCACGCTCAAAGCTAACACCAACAGCCGCAATCATGCGCCGTATGTGGCCTCGCGCAGAAGCAGAGCCATGGGCGAGTCTCTGTTCGGCAGAATCGTAAGTATTTCTGATTCATATCAGCAGAACTCGGCCAAGGTTATCTTTATGAGCATTTAAATCGACACAGAGCGGTCGCCCTGCACCTTCAGCCGTGGGAATGATCTCCAGTGGGTACAGTGGGATGGCAGGAGGCGCCGACGCCTGCTCCAGAGTGGAACCCAAGTACCCCGCCCTGCTCTTCAAGCAGCACCTCACCGCCTACGTTGAGAAAATATATGGGATGATCAGAGACGCCCTGAAGAAGGAGATCAGCCCCTTCTTGAACCTCTGCATTCAGGTACTCGTTCGTCTCATCTCTGAACCTGAAAAAAAAAATTAAATTATATATGCATATGAGCAGACATTTATGTTAATTAATCGACAGGCACCGAGATCCGGGAGGCCTAGATTGATAAGGGGGTCTTCTAAGAGGGTTCATCCAGGCATGGCGGCTAAGCAGGCATCGAGTGTGCACTGGCAGAGCATCGTCAATAGCATGGATGATTTCTTGAATATAATGCGTCGGAATCATGTAAGCGGGCACTTTTATTGAGTTAATACCACATAGAATCCGACGCAATATTGTTCGATTTAATCTCCACAGGTTCCTTCTGTGATCACGAGGAAGACCTTCAGCCAGGTTTTCTCCTTCATCAACGCGCAGCTCTTCAACAGGTGACGAACTCATTCGAAATCTTCGCACCTTATATCCGATGATTTTATTTTATTTTTTTCTTCCAAAGATTCGTAGAGATCCCCATTTTTCTTCTTTTTACGGACGAAATCGGGTTCCATGCTCAGCCTCCTCCTGCGACGCGAATGCTGCTCATTCAGCAATGGAGAGTATCTGAAAGCAGGCCTGCAAGAACTTGAAGAACTCTGCTCCAGAGTCACAAAGGAGGTAGACACTCACACCCCATCCCCACCCCCACCAACAACAATAATAATAATAATAATAATAATAATAATACTAATAAATACTAATAAATACTAATATTATTAATATTAATTAGCATAATAAAAATAATAAACAAGTGGAAGAAGAAGAAGATGGAGAAACCGATTCTGATGGAAATTTTGTCATGTAATTTTTTGCAGTTTGCTGGATCTTCATGGGAGGAGCTTCATCACATACGACAAGCAGTTGGCTTCCTGGTAAAAAAATTTAAAAATTTTAAAAAAAAGGCTATCAACACCCGGCATGTCCCTTGGTGACTATTTTTGGTTAATTTACAGGTGCTGCATCAGAAATCCCAGAAATCATTGGAAGAGATCACAGACGAGCTCTGCCCGGTGAGTCAGAGAGAAAGAAGAGACCAGGACCCAGAAGAATGCATGATGAGACTAACTATTTATCCTTTTTTCCTTTAAAAAAAGATATTTATTTTCTTCTCTCTTCCTAGGTTCTGAGCATCCCCCAAATATATCGCATTGGAACAATGTTCTGGGATGATAAATACGGCACCCAAGGTTTATCTCAAGATGTGAGTGGTCCCCAACTTAGGAACATTCGGAGGAGGATGAATGATGGTATAATCTTGGAAAATATTTATTTATTTTTTCAGATAATCAGGGAGATGAAATCTCTGATGGCAGATGACTCGTTCAACATGGCGAACAATTCTTTCTTGCTAGATGATGATTCAAGGTGATGAACAAACTGTTCCTCTTTTCCAAGATCACAGCCAATAAACATGTAAATCTTCATTTAATTAAAATGCAAACAAAAATAGAGGAAAATGGATGAATTTTTATTTTTATTTTTATTTTTATTCAGCATACCTTTCTCCCTGGATGATATATCCCGCTTGGTGCTCGACATCAACCTCGCCGACGTGCAGCCGCCGCCTCTCCTCCGACAGAACTCTGACTTCCACTTCCTACTGCAACAGGCAACAGGTTAATCGACACGTCACGGTTTTTATGGATAGCATTTGGATTAGATTTATTTATTTTTTGGGTTTCTCAGCTTTTCATTTATTTTTTAACCCAATTGCTCTTTTATTTCTTGAAAATTGGGTTCGAGAGAGGATTTTACGGGTTTTTAAAAATATTTGAGAGAATGTGTGAATGTAAAAAAGGGTGGAGGGGTATTTGAAAATTTTACTTTAGTCGATGTAATAAATCTTGTTCGTGAAAAAAATATTTTTTTCCTTTTATTTATTATTCATGTATGGCGATTATGATTATGATTTAGTTTAGCTAGAATTATGCTCATTCACAAAAAAAAGGAAGCTGACCCATGAGGGTCCTAATGGGCCATCTAAGCCCAGAAAAAATGGGCCGGGTTTAAGATTCCGTGCCATTTGGCCCAAAATCTGTCTGTCTGTCTGTCTCTCTGTCTCTCTCTCTCTCTCTCTCTCTCTCTCTCTCTCTCTCTCTCTCTCTCTCTATTCCTATCTCTAGCTGTAGCAAAAGGGTATGCTAGGAGGCCATTTTGAGGGCGATTCTCCAGCCCGACCCATTAACCCCACTTTTTCGCAAAAAAAAATCATGCCCTTTTTTGCCATAAAAATGTAATAGAGAATTATATTTTTATTTATACCCCATTTTTACTTCATCCTAACAAACATGGCCCCCTTGTTTGAAAGACAAGGGCATCATATTCACAGGTTATCTTCTATGCCCCTATTTGTTTCTTTCTTGTGCTCATCGTCGTCCCATCACTGTATGCCCCCCATACGACTGTACGCCCCTCCTATTTATAGGGAAGAGCTATGGAGTTCGCCCGAGCGGAGGAGATGAATCTGCAGGCGGCAATCCGTGCATCATTTCTGCAGGATGCTTCTCCTGCGAGCTTCTCATGGCGGCCTGCTGCGTCTCCCCCTATATTTGGATCATCTGCTTGGATCTTCAGCGGCCCCACCGATGGCGGGGCGGCGGTGGGTTCGCCGTCGGGCCGAAAACTCCGACAAAATATAAGGCCGATATGGCGAGGCACAGGCCGACGGGATACCCGACGGCTACCCCTCTCCAGAAGAACCACGGCTCTCCGTGGCTCTGGTTAGGGTTCTTCCATGGCGGCTGCGATCTCGAGCAGAGAACTCTGATTTGGCTCCCGCAGAGGCCGCTGTTGTTCGCGAAGGAGGTCTCGTCCATGGTGCTCATCTGGCCGCCGTCGGGGATGGGGCCGGCGAGCCTGTTGCCGCCTAATCGCAGCACTGCAAGCGCCCTCAGGCGGACGAAGGTCTGCGGCACGCCACCGGAGAGATCGTTCTGCGACAGATCGAGAGTTTCCACGCTCTCCAGATCTCCGATCTCCGCGGGGATCTCCCCACGGAGATTGTTGCCGGAGACGTTGAGCAGCTTCAGAGCTCTGAGATTGCCGAGGGAGGGAGGCATCTCGCCGGAAAGCTCGTTGCCGGACAGATCCAAAGTGGAGTAGATGTCGAGGTTCCCCCTCTCCAGCTTCTGCAACTTCCCCTTCAACACCACGGAGACGTCGGCGGAGGCGAGATCGAAGGTGAAGACGTCCCGCACAGCGAAGGACAGAGAGGGCGCTCGGATCATCCCTCTGAGATTTCCCAATTCTGGTGGGATCCCACCGGTGAATCTGTTGCCGGAGAGATCGAGGATCTGGAGGGCCGGCAGCTCGGAGATCACAGCGGGGATCTGTCCCTCGAAGAGGTTGCTCCTGAGGATCAGAGATCTTAGGGTTGGGATCCCGGCTAAGGTTCCGGGTAGCTGGCCGGAGATCCTGTTGCTGTGGAGGTCGAGGTGGAGGAGCAAGGGCATGGAGGAGAGGTTCCGAGGGAGGCCACCGGAAAATTGGTTCTCGCTGAGATCGAGGAACTTCATCTCCGAGCCGAAGCTCGTCGGGACCTCGCCGGAGAGTCGGTTGGAGGAAAGATCGACGAAGGAGAGAAAGGGCTCCTCGTCCAATCTTGGAAACCGATCGCCGGAGAAGCGGTTCTTGGAAAGATCCAGCATCATCAAGCGGCGGATCTTGGAGAGGGACGGCGGCGGCGCGCCGGAGAAGTTGTTCCCGCCGAGGAGGAGCATAATGATCGCCGTGGCGTTCCCGATGTTCTCCGGCAACTCCCCGCTAAGGTTGTTGCCGGAGAGGTCGAGCACAGAGAGGCTCTGCGACTGGAACATCCGGGAGGGGAGAGGTCCCGTCAGGTTGTTCTCGGGCAGGATCAGACCTCCGATCTCGATCTCGGCGAGCCACTCCGGGATGCTCCCGTTGATCCTGTTCTTCCCGAGATCCAGGAAATCGAGCTTCGTCTGCCTCGACAGCCACCGGGGGAGCTCGCCGGAGATTCCGCAGGATCTCAGCGACAGCCAGGAGAGGACGCAGTCGGTCCTCATGTCTGCGCCATTCCTCCAGGTGAGGCTGTTACTCCCCAGATCCAGCACCTCCAAGGTCCTGATCGTGAACAGCCAGCCGGGGATCTCACCGGAGAGCAGGTTCTCGCCGAGGCGGAGCTCCCGCAGGCGGCTCATCGCCCTCACCGTCTCCGGGATCCCGCCGGATAGCCTGTTCCTTCCCAGGCAGAGGGCAGAGAGATTGGCGAGCTCTCCGATCTCTCCGGGAATCTCCGACGACAGAGAGTTGTTGCCGAGATCCAGGATCTGAAGCTCCCGCAGGCGGACGATCGAGCCGGGGATCCCTCCGGAGAGCTGGTTCTGGCGCAGAGACAACTGCCGGAGCCCGCCGAGCTCCCCGATATCCGGCGGGATCTCGCCGGAGAGGGAGTTCTCGTCGAGCACCAGCGAGCGGAGGCTCCTCAGGCGTCCGATCTCGCTGGAGAGGCCCCCGCTGAGAGAGTTTCTGCGCAGGTCGAGTTCCTCCAAGCTCGGCAGGCCGGCCAAGCTCGTCCCTCCGGCGGGGAGCTCTCCCCGGAGACGGTTGTCGGCGAGATTCAGAACCCTCAGGGTTCGTATCCGGAGCAGCGGCGTAAGCGCCGCCGCCACCGCCGCTTCCCGCAGGGTGTTGCAGCCGGGCACGGCGACGCCGGTGACCGGCCTCTCCGGCCGGCGGTGGTCGCAGGTGATCCCCTCCCACCGGCAGCAGTCGGCTCTCCGGTGACCTCCCCACGAGTCCAGCACGCAGGCGGGGCCTGCCGCCACTGGCTCCCCGACGAGGGCGGACTTGAACTCGAGGAGGGCCAGCCGGTGTTCTTCGGGGCACGCCAAGAGAGGGCGGAGGAAGAACAGGGCGAGGAAGGCAGCGCAGAAGTCGTTGATCCTGATGCCCCCAGGTGCCATCGCCGCCCCTGCTGCTCTCCTCTCCTCTCCTCTGCAGGTTGGATGGACAGCATACTGCCAGTATCATCTATCTACACTCCCCCTGGTCTAAAAGTCCACGGTTTCATTAAAAGAGCCTTTGACTCGGATCGACGCGGTCCGTTGTTGACTATGATGTACGGTCACGGGCCCACATTACCTACCCCTCTCGCGGTTTCTGAAGTCTGCGGCGCAGGTGTGTGTGGGAGAAGACTCGGCCCACGGAACTAATCTCTCTCTCTCTCTCTCTCCCTCACTCCCTTTCTCTCTCTCCTCTCTCTCTCTCTCTCCCTCACTCCCTTTCTCTCTCTCCCTCCCCCTCCCTCCCACTCTCCCTCTCCTTATTATTCTCTCTTTCTCTATGTATGTAGAAAATGAGGGAAAACAAGACGGGGCCCAGAAAGTCCATGGACATCTAGATGTTGTATTTTAAGCGGCCATTAAGTCAAGAAGGGTTGAATGGGTTGATTTCTAGTCTTGACTTTGGTATATTCTCTCTTAAATCTTCAAACTTTTACCCAAAGCCCAGAGTCTTATGATATATTAGGAAATAGAGTTTAGGGATACTTAAGTGAAGTGGGTCAGCCCTTTGGCCATGTCTACTTTCCAAAAATAACCTTGTTCTTAGACTTGCTTAGATTGAACATCTCAGTCACACTTGTTGACTACCAAGTTCATCTTCATTATAATGTTTCTTTGGGATTTTCTTTTAGATCCACACCTCTAAAAGAACACTAAAGATTTCATTTTTTTCAGAGGACACGATGTTGTAGACGAGGACGATGTAATTTTTTCTTCAGGAGAAGAGGATGTAAATTTTATTTCAATTATTTTCTTCTCATAATGATGTTGACTAGATGTGAAAGTCGTCGTCTCTTCGATTTGGTCAAGTAATACTAATCGTTACTTAAAAACTGATCGTATCATTTAATCAATCGTTAAAGACCTCATGAATTCTCTTAAAGTTTTCTATAGAAAAATACAAGGAAGCTGTCAAAATCTTAGAAAGAGATAATCATTCCAAGTTAATTAGACATTGGAAAGGTGTTCTATATATAGAGAAATCAAATTGATAAGCTTCTGTTTTATGTCACCTCTAAATGTATATATTTCGAAAAATAATAATTAAAATTCTGAACGACTGTAAAACTGAAATAACATTTCATCTAAACCTTCAAAGATCTTCAATTGCATATCGATGTAGACTGATTTCGTAAGGATCTAAAATCTTAAAAGTAAAATAATATATGTATATATATGTCTAAACAAAATAATGGTTTGACAATGAAACATTATTCAAATAATCTCAAGGAAAATCCATTTGCTAAGTAGACACGTTGAATAAAGATCCCAAAATATGAAATGATAGTTCGATGATTCATAGTATTTAAAAGTGTTTTCTAAATGATATTCCTTAATATTCATAAAATCTTACTCAACCAAATAAGCAATGACTTTAAGTTATTAATTTTGCATAAAGCTCATTCAAAATTAAACATGTGGCATCATGGATACATAATAGTTTGAGAACATTTAATATTTCAAGTGACTCCTTTGTTAGGCTCATATTCGATGCAACATAGAAATTCAGTTTTGATGTAATTAATCATGTATGATTTCTAGATGGTTAAATTATATTATTTCTTTTTCCTGATACCTAAATCCTCCTTATGATTGAGTTCAGCCCACAAGGGTTATGGAGTTTGACCAATGGAGGAGCTCTCCGCATGGCACTCATCAAGGCTTTCCACGCTCTCCAGCTCCGATTTCCCATGATAATCTCTCTCTCTCTCTCTCTCTCTCTCTCTCTCTCTCCGTGGATGTATAGGGCCGAGATGGGGCATCAATTCCTAGAGAGAGAGAGGGAGAGAGAGAGTCCCAGCTGGGCGTATTTCCTTGCACCAATTCTACCAGGCCCAGTTCAGGGCAAAATATAATCGGGCTGGGATATTACTAAATGGGCATCTACAGGCCCATTAACACCACCCTCGTTAATAAGTAGGGAAATCTACACTTAATAAATGGGCCTATATCAGCCCACTAACACCCCTACTCATTAGCACCCACAGATCAACGTAGTAAACCACCCCCACACACAACCACCAAGGTATATATATAGGTATATATATATATATATCGGCCCAATTGGAAAAGTGGTGAGGCCCAGCTCCCCGTTTTCAGGGTCGATGAAGCCCATCTGGCCCAATTTGTAAAAAATGGCCCAAATGAGAAAACAGATGAAGCGCTTGGCCCAATTTTCACGAAGAAATTGGGGTGAGTGGGCTGGATCAGCTGCGAATATATATATATATATATAACCGAACCCTTGGGACCTTCTTCAACCCCAGGATGTGATGAGTCGACATCGAGTGACTAATATATATATATATATATATATATATATATATTTATTTATATTTATACCACGTGATTCACCCAGAGGCTGGATGAAGTGCGTGTTGAAAAATCACAAAGGAAAATGAACCCGAACCTTATATGGATATGGATTTCATCACCAACAGTTGTCCAAGTCAACAAGAATATCACAGACACGATCCCCTTAACCTCTCTCTCTCTCTCTCTCTCTCTCTCCCCTGTTTTTCAGAGGACGACCGACCGAGGCCACAAAATGGCTCCTTTACTATTTATGGGCATGTGGGGGGAAGGGGTGGTGCTGCTGGGCCATAGTCCCATTTCTCCCTGAGGGAAGGGTGGTGGATCCGGCTGGTTTGACTCCAGGGACGAGCCCTCCTTCAAGTCCAAGAGCTTCTTGATCTTTGACTGCCTGCCTGCCGCCTGGTATCCCTGGCTGGCATCAACAGACAGTTCTCCCGTAGCAGATGGAGGCGATGTACAGGTTCTTCCCCCATTTTTCCTGCAAATACCAATGCCATGCTGTTACACACCACGTCTTCAGGCAAATTCAGACGGACAGATAAATATAGTAACATAATTGCTTTCCTGAGCTTCTGGGCACAAACACACCATTACAGTACTCTAAGTGACCTTCTTATACAGTCATCCTCTCTCTCCCTCTCTCTCTCTCAACCCTCTCGTGCCTGTCCCAGATGGGTTATGTGGAGACGTTTCCAAAGGCAATAATAAGGAGGCATGATCGAAGAAGCAATGAAATTATGGCAGATCACAGAGATCTTTCTTGAGTGGACGTATAGAATGGGAAGAGGAATTATCCAGATTTCGAAGCAAAGTGGGAAAGAACATGTGAAGAGTGGGCTCCAGTACAAGGTAGATAATGAAATTCCCGACTAAATTACGCCCAAAAAGAAAAAAGGAGGAGCAAACAAATCATAAAAATGGTATAAACTGTGTCTTAAGGGAGAGTAACATGGAGATGATCCCAGATAAAAGGGATCAAGAAAAATTATCCCAAAAGACGTAACAAGTGGCAGATTCAGCACTAAAGATGCCTGAAATCTATGCACATTAAGCAATAAAGTCAACGTTAAAAAAAAAACTTGCCAGTCGGTTTCTGGTTCTTCTCCGTGGAAGCATGGAACATGGAAAAGCAGCATTTATCCCATATTCTTGCTCTCTAGATTCGATGCTAGCATACTCAGAAAAAAAAAAAAAACTGTCTTCTATGGCTGATTTTAAGGAGAATGATTTCGAAATAAATGTCCAGCATTGACTCTCAAAATAAATGTCAAAATCTCTCTAGAAACTTCCCTTAAAAGCCTCTTCCTATTCAAGGTCAAAATCCACGTGAAAAGTCAAAATGGCCCACAGTGGACATAACCATGGAATTCCAAGTATGGGATCAGTCAGGCTTCACAGAACATACTATTTAAAGCAATGGATACGCAGTGTTTCAAGCAGGAGCAAAGGTCGAACAGATCCCAAAGAAATCAGGGGGAGAGCTCTTCACCTATGTCTTGGGATATTTGGTGAGAATAAAAAATAAAAATAAAAAATTTAATAGGAGCTACCAGAAGTTTCATCGGAGTCCCTTCAAAAAAGGACCAATATACCTCTCCTTTAATGCTGATGGTTTAACTAATATGCCGGTTACTTCTTCAAGCTGATTTCAGGTTATATAATACTAAAATAATTTCCATTTATCGATTGTAAGCTAATTCGCGCCGTCAGTATGCATTCCTGTTTTGTGGAGAATGACAGATACCTTCACGTGGTTACTAGGAAAGGCAGAAGTACGCAGAGTCTCCTGCGTCTCATCCATGAGTTTTCGTTTGGGAATGCTCAATATGAAGGCAGCCTGATCTGCAGTAGCAGCAGTGGAGGTAATCCTGTATCCACTCTCCCATCGCCTGTGGATCCCTTCACTTGGGTACAGAAAATCCAACTCCACAACCTGCGTTGAATTTTTTTTTAAAAAAAAGGAATATTTTAGAGCTCGGATAGAGATGGATGGAAAATCTTGCATCCAACCAGCCCACAGTCGCCTTGGAACTCATTCCAGGAACTTAATCTGCATTCTACAGCCAATCTATGCAAAGTCATAAAGCATGTTACCCCGATTAAGAAACAAGCGCATTATGTCAATTAAGAGGGTACTTTCCTCGTCAAATCAATAGAGTGAAGTGAGTTCAATCGGAGAAGAGGGCGTCACCTGATCAGAAAAACCGGAATTTCTAGACATAACCACACCCCAGCGGCTTCCGGCTGTAGTCATGGAAGTAACATGGAAGCCCTCTTTCCACTTCTTATTGATCCATTTGAAAGGAAATGACTCGCTTACTTTGTACGATTGCTGAGTGTATGGAGTCCCTGAACGATTTAAGTCAACGAAAATATGTTGATCGATGTGCTTTAATGAGATAAATGATAAATGAAAGGGGGAGTCAATGCGCTTTAATGATGATAATAATAATAATAATAATATATAAAAAGATTGAGACAAATGAAATGATAAGGGAATTTTCAAACGTCCAGAAAGACAATTAATGAAAGTTACACGAGTTTGTAATAAGCCAGTTTCAGCCTACGAGAATGGCAGCAAGAGCCTGAGCAGTAACATGTCACAAGGATGATGAGTGTGTAAAGCTGGGGTTGGCTTCCTTTAGATCAAGGTTCTCAGAAATGACGGCAAGGCTTTTTCTTTTCTTTTCTTTTCTTTTCTTTCCTCTGTCGTCCCTAAACCCAACCAACTTCTTTCTCTTTTCTAATTCGATCCTTGTCGTGGTCAACGCACTGAAGGAAGATCGTGCCCCACTGGGCCTGTCCACGGTCTAGTTTGGGTCCTGTTCTTAGGAATGGGCCGTCCCCTCAAAATGAAAATTAATCTGGGTGAGAAAAATATTCCCATATTTCAGAAGCCGCAAGTGGACCAGATCTCGCGAACCCAAAATGGTGGAAAATACCATGGGCGAATCAAGAAGATGATTCTTCTACGAATCCACAAGGAATCATCAAAAGGACCTTGAGATGGGATCTTGACCAAAACCTGAGCGGGTGGGGGACCCAGATGATCCTCTTCTTGGCATCACAAATACCTAAGATTCCCATTGATATAATTACCATGAAAGGTAAGAGATCCCGAATAGCAATTCTGTGATTAATAGAAGCAAGGAACAGGTGGGATTGAGGAGACAAGACAGGAGCCAGAGCAAAATACTCCATAATTAATAGTCGAATTTCTTTGGAGACAAAGGAACACTTTCAAAAGATGGAATTGGCACAAGTGTTCGTGTATCGGTAAGTTCCATGACTCAAGAAAACAATAATGCGTCAAAATTCCTTCCTCTCGAAAAACTGCATTGCTCTACAGAAAACACAACCCCTAGTCACTCTCTCTTCTTCTCCTATCGTAAGGCACAAAAAATATTTGTACCTTTGCTTTGCATGAGATATAATTCCATAAAAGGGAATCCCTTGACCATTTGAAATTATACGAAAAGAATTGTAACGTATAAACTTCAAATGGTTCTGAGTGGAGGTCCTAGCAGGCTAAGATGCATTTGTCCAGATGTTGATCAAAGTTGAAAAGAGAATCACATGGAAGAAAGAAGAAAATTTTCTACTGGATGTGACTGTCAATCCTTTTGCAACGAAACACTTTGCATGTCATGACTTGTGAAGCTTCATATCTGCCCACTTAGATTTATTTTACTCAAGGAATCATGATACAGGCGTTCAACTTTGTCTAAAAATATGGAGTCCAAGGATGTGGACTCTAGATTGGATCTGGAAGCAACTGCATATGATCCTTATATCAGATTCTGAAAATCTAATGAATCCAAAACTTGATAAGAAAATATAAATAATTACAATTTTCAATATTAAATTTTATATGTAAATAGTTCTGTAGAAAAAAAAAGCACATTAAACTGACTCCTTTTATTACTTTAATCCAATCACCAAACACGTTGAATGCAAACAAACAGAACTCCGTGATCAGCTCTTCAGCCAATCAACTGACATTTATTGAAAAAAATTGGAGTTTACAAGCTACGAATATCAGTGGGGTAGACAATACTGAAACCATGTTGCTGTGCATGCAGTGATTGCAACCAATTCCTCTTACCCCTCTGTTCATCGTTCAGCTGGAGTTTAACTCATCACAATATGACAGCAGTGGGAACGATTGCTGATGATCACTTGCAAAAGATTGGTTTTTCCCAATATCCATTCTTCATTTTCCTTTTTGTTTTATTTATCTCTTTTTACTCCCTTTTCTACTGCACCCTAATGGTATTTCTGTCTTCTTTTGCTCCTCGTAGTTTCCCCTCCTCTCCCTTTCTTCTTTCCTAGTTACAATGTGTAGCCTTTTTACAAAGACCAATTCCCCCAAGCAACCAGTCTCAGTATCAGCAACCCGTCCCGTCCTTTCTTCTATCCTTCAAAACTTTCCAATAGGACGGCCAATTCAGTCCGAAATATCTGATTTAGAACAGAATTGGAAATTCCACGAGCAATGTAAGACCGTGCTATCATGCTCGATTTGAATGCAAAATAGAGAAATTATGGGAGGATATAATCTATGTTTCCCTCTCTGACAAGATCTTAGCCCTCTCTGGCATTGAAAAACGACTGGTGAGAAATATTCAAGACTGAATGGCACATTTGACTTCGAATATTATCTGATTTAGATAATCATTGGTGAAATCAGTGGCTCCTTCCATTATACCAAATTATATTTAAGCTATGACAGCAGAATAAAATACCGGTGGTCACACTGATGATAGTCGTAAAATTCCAACTTAATGACGTAGGTTCGAATCATCATCAATGAACAGTAATGTAATTCATTTTCCAAAAGAAGCAAAGCCTTAATAAACCAGAACTTTAATTCTTGTGCGAGCTGACCTTTTGACATGACAACTAAAGAACTGCCATTATTTGCACCGGCTATTGAGGTGATATAGTAGTTTTTTTCCCACTGCTCCATTATCCAATCCTATCACAAATTTAGCAATCAAATATAATATTTATTCAGTAGATACAAAAGGAATGACAGCATAAATTACCAAAGGGCAATGTAGGCACACCTTGTGCAGGAATATTGAGGACAATTCAAATTCCTGGGAACAGAAACCTGTTCCCGCATCCATAATAAGCGCCCAAAGGTTTGCAGAAGAGGCCACACAACTGATGTATAAGCCATCTTCATTACCCTTCTCTACATGTTGGCGAAGCCTTGTGTCTGCCACATTGTAATGATACCTAATACAACAAGAAGTGAAACAATGAATAAGGAAAATATATGCAACCAAAAAATTAATAAAAGAATTATTCCGAAGAAATCCACAAGATGCATACAGATGACAACATCAGTAGCAACAAGAAATACTTATGCTGTATCCGTAGGAAAGCAAACGAGTTTGGAACTAAAGATCTGAATAAGGAACTTGAACAAATCGGTGCAGGACTTTGTTTTTTTTCAAAGATAAAATTCTAACCAACCAACTGAATGATAACAACCCCTTTAAAGAAACACCATCCCCTAACAACAATTCAATATTAAAAAAAGTTCGACGAATCAGAATGCAAGTGATACTTATTCGTAAATATTCAAATGCAAAAGACAATAGTTTCTTCTATTTCATCCAAAAACCTGCATCATCTTTATTTAACAAAGTTCACAAAAATCTACATTTAATAAAAATCACCCACAAAGCACATAAAAATGATGGAATTTAATCCAAAAACAATAGAAAAGAATTATGAATAGAAATTATGTCCACTTCGCTCTGTGATGGATAATAACAGAAAATTCGAGTGTTGCCTCTCTCGTCGCATGAACCTAAACTTACCATATAATAAAAAGCATCCTTGTTGCCAGGAGACTCTTGTGGATTGTGCCTAAGGCAATAATTAGGCAACATCTTTCAGAATGTTGACATCAGACGGGTGGCTAGAATTGTCTGTCGAATTCCTGATTCTTATACATGGAATAAGATGGACCATCATGATGAGACTTTTGATGTATATGGTATGACACGGGTTTTAAAAGTTTCACGCATTCATTAACAAAGATTGGGGCTTCGCCAATTTAAAACTTTTACAACTCTCAGCCACTTACAAAGTTTCCAGTTAATTAACACATTCACGCCCTTTTTAAAAGAATAACATACTAGCAAGAAAAGCGGAGTACAACAGAACACTGTGGTTTTCATGACAAGTGAACTTGAAATCTAGCAACACAATCATCAAATATTGTTTACACATCGAAAACATTCATGCTGTAAACATCGAATATCAGTAATATGAATGCATGGTATTTTATGCCATTTTAGGCTTATTCATTACCTCTGTTTCATGGGACGGCGTGCATTGTATACTGAAATCCACTGGGTTGCTAGGCTTCCCAGTCGGACTTTCTTTTTAGGCTGTTCTTCTTCATCGAGATTTACGAGCAATCTTCCACGTTTCTGTCCGACCTGCCACCAAAGCAAAGGGACTAAAGATGCTATCTTCTAGTATGAACTCGAATCAACACAAAGAGTACATGCAACAATAATATTATGATACGTTCAAAATAACAAAGCATACAAATATTCAGGATCTATTCAACAACCTTCAAAGCTCCATCTATTCTGATAGGTCTCAAAGCTGTGCATGGCTCAATCAGACTTTCAAAAAGAGAAATAAGCTTTGAATAGTTTGGTTCCTCATCAAACTTCATATTTGTCACTGCCTCGAGAAAGTTTTTGAATGGAGGTGGGCAGAAACAGCACAACATCTCTGGAGAAGTGGCCATCTTTTTCTTACAAACAAGAAAGCTTTTGTTGTCGCCCTGCAGCACCAGAAAAAATGAGTTCTTGAATCCCACCTCAACTCAAAAAACGAAAGATTCAGAGAAAACAGCCACATGGCTAACGACCTGATAGCCTTGCCAGGGTAACCTTCCCTTGATGAGAAATATTAATGTGTAGGCCAGAGACTCGAGATCATCTCTTCTACTTCCTGTGCGACCTAAGTGCGCATGTACACTTGCATATCTTATTGTTCCTCTGCCAGGACAAAGTCGTCAGACAAAAACATAGAGAAAATAATCCATACAAATTTAAAATGTGCATACCTAAAAATGTCTGGTCTTTGGTCATAATCAACATGTTGACCTGATGACGAATCCCTCCATTTTGAGGCTGAACAATTTATATCAGTGACATGAGATGCTACTGGTGATAAAAATCTATGCTTGGGTTACAAGAGTCCAAGAATTGAGCTAATCAGCGAAAACTTCTCAGTAAAGCACAGATGACTCGATTATTTTGGTGATATAAAAAGTAGTTTACTTTGAAAAGAAACAACGGAACAAAAATATAGCATACCCAACCCAAGATCAATAAGGAAAAGCTTCTTCTCATCAGGTGATCCAGGTTGGCCAAGCAAAAAGTTCTCTGGCTTAACATCTCCATGAACAAACCTGTGCCAGGGAAAGAAAATAGATGACGAGCAGCACGTAATTTCGCCAAATATGCTATTAAATTGAATAATGGATTATAACAAACTGGAGAAAAAAGTTCCCAGACACTGCATATGGTGACCCATGCTATCCACAACACAAAGTAAAGACAAAAGGGACTGGCAACATAAGGATGAGATTCTAAAATCCCTGAAAGCGTGGAAAACCAGGATATGGCGAATGGCATGCTAAATGGCGTATACCCCTCTGGATGCATGCAGCCAACACATTGACGAGTCAAATTCAAAACTTGGGGAATCAATTCAAGTATAGAGTGGGACACCCACTAAAGTGAAAACAAACAAACTTGGGGAACAAAATCAAGTATAACTACATACCCCTTTAAATGAAGCTTCTCAAGAATTGAAATGGCCTCCACAGCAATACAGGCAGCCATACTTGGTGACATACTGTTCCAACATTTCAGGTCTTAGAAAATTAGAACCACTACCCAGAGAGCAAGGGAGAAGATATAGCATAATACTTACGCTTGGCCAACAGAATTCCACACATCCCAAAGACTGGGTCCGAGCATGTCCATGACCTGAAGCAATAAAGTTATTTATAATTTCCACTGATTGGTACGTTTACATCATATTCGTGATGGAGTTCCACCATACCAGAATGTAATAATCTCCTTGACGACCCTTGTAGTGAACCAAAGGCAGTCCGTAACATCCATTGAGAGTACTTTTAACAAAATATGGATATATTAGATATGAAACACACAGATAATGCACAAGAAAATATGCACGAGGCTCTGAAATGGATAACTTCTTACTTGTAGACTTGCCATTCATATGGAGCCCCATAATTACAACCTTTACTGGTGCGATGTTCAAATTTCAGTGCTACCTGTGGTCAACGGATAATAAATTTTACTAAATGCAAATTAATATTGGCATCAGGATAAGTTATGGGAAAAATAGTGAATTCCACCTCAAAGGCATCTGCTCCTGGGCAATCTGATCCACCTGATACTCTTCGACCAACATAGACCTGACCAAAACCACCTTTTCCCAGCTTTCTATCAACCTTATATAATGGGGAGTTACCAACTTGCACCTAAAGATAGAAAACAATCAAAGGATAATCGTGATAATGTCAAATGTAAGATCAAAACGACAACGCATTGTCCATCATTTATGCTGACAGCGTCACTGCAAAATCAAACAACCATTCTTTGGTCTTTTCTAGTAGTAAGAAGAGATGCTTAATTACTTGGCTTTCTCTGGGAAAATAAGTTCAATTGTTACTATTGGCATTTTCCAAAATGTTTCATTTGACTCCTCTAATAGAACACAGAATAATCTACACCCCCTCTAGAGGAATCAATCTTGATGGGCTCTCAGTTCTACGGATCTAAAGATATGATCCAAATGAACTTCTAAAAAGAGCAGGCGACATCAGCGACGAGAAGAATCTACACACTTCCGAACAGGTATATAGTAAGTGCAGTATGATAGTAGTCTGTTTGAAAATCAGGTGGACATTGGGTAATCTATATTAGTCAATAGATATCCTGAGAAATGTCTTCCAGAATGCAAAAGGCAAAGAACTATCGTGCAAATGAAATGGAGAAATTTTATGATGCCTTGATGAAAATATATTAACCTCAAAATAAACAAGCATGAGAACCTCACAAAAGGCTAATAAGAACAGAAAAGTGTGCTCAAGCATACATTTGAGTTTAAATAAATGATTGAGAAAAGGAATAACGCTGGTATCATGAAGGCTTGCTTTACGTTCCTGTTTATCACTGGGATAAAAAAAAATGAAGATTGACTCTTGACAAGATATCTGACGTTTCCCTCTTATATTCCATCCTATACCATATCTTTTTGGGGAAAAAAATATTTATGTTATGGCCAGAGCTGCATTGAAAATTTCTTGGCCATCCACCAGGAAATTATCGCATGCCTTGTACCAATTTAAGTACAACCCTACATAAATATGCAAGACATTCATCGACACACCCAGCAAAAGTCAATGTCATAGGGCACATTATTTGAATAAACATTACTATAGAAGGAATATCATTTGAAACATGTGAAATGTCAAGAAAATATTGTTAAACTTCTGTATCGGAAAGTCAGGTACTCAGTCAAAATAAGAAATTAGAAAAAAAAACAAAACTGAGAAGATGTAGGGTTCAATAGATCTATACCCGGTCAGGAACAGGTGCTGTCGTTGCTTCTTCTTCAGCTGCTACTACTTTTTCCGGACTTCCTTCCTCCATTACAACAATTTTATCAGGAGGGTGCACGGCTGTCTGATTCACAACTGGGTCTTGAGCAATTTGAATGGGAGCTGCAGGCAGAACTTCACAAGGTCTGTCTGGATCTAGATCAATCACCCTGATCCCACTCCCTCGGCCGCCAATGGTTCTAACTTTTGCTGCAGCTGGCCCTTTGGCTACTGCTGCACCATTTCCTCTTCCCCTTCCTACACCAACCCGTCTACCTGTCCTATTACTAGCTGGCAAAGCAAAGTTCTCGGCTTGTTCAATGGGCTGTGGCTGTGGTGCATCATCTACCCTTTTGGATTTCACACGACCTTGCCGGGTTCCACTGCGAAGCTCCGGCATTATCTCCCCATGCAAGTTACGGCCAGACCGGGTATTGAGTTTCCCTGTTGGTACCTGCACAATGCTGAGAGTGCAAAGGACGAAGACAGTGAGCCCATCAAGAAAATATGGAGGAATGTGGACTAAAAAAGGATACCCAGAAGATCCCAGAGAGAAGGAAAACAAAAAGAAGAAGGATCTCAGTAAACAAAGAAATGATGAGGCCAAATTCTAAAGTAGCCATAAGCTTCAAGACTGGAAATCTAATTCTAACAGGCTAAGGAACAAGAACAAGGCGGACACAGCTTACACATCCAACCGGGAGAGGAGAAAGCGATAAGAAGATCAAGATGTATAGAGGCAGATGAGATAAATTTCGTTTCTTTGTAGAGCCACATAAAAATTACCAAATTAAGGCAAAAATTCAGATCGTCAAAATGGAAACAGCATTATTTTAGGAAAAAAATTCCATTCCTTTTTTGGAAATGGAAGAGAACTGCTTCTTTTCTGAACCCCCTCCTCTCCCATGTCAGACGCTACTGTTTAGTAAGAAATTACACCCTTTTGCAGGAAAAGCAGTTGTCTCCCCAGAACTGAGGATCCTCACTGGCAAAGAAACAAGGGGGTAATCCACCTAACTTCACAAATGATTTTCCGAGAAGAAATCAAAGACATTTGAGAAGAATTATATTGTCATCAGTAGAACACCTCATCTAAATAGTTCGTCAAATGAGGCGTCCAGGGAACCAGAACGTTCAGACTGAACCCCCTCCTCTCGTCCCTGGTTCGAATCGATCCAATCGTAATGGTGGAGAGATGCTTGAGAAGAAAGGCTGTAACTTTCATTAACACAATCGGGATCATCTGAACCGACGCAACCGATCATCCGAATCCAATCCAAAACCCGACACAACACCGGAAGCACGTTTCCAACAGAAAAAACAGAACCGATCGTCCAAGAAACGAATCAGAATCTCATCGGCACGAGGATGGAAGGGAGCAGAACCTGAAACAGCGACGATCGGTGCCCGATGGTGCCACCGGATCGGTTTCAACACAATCGACGGAGTCACCGACTCCTCGGCCGCCCCCGATCCGGATCCTCAGAGGAGGCGTCGGGAGGTTGGGGGCTCCCCGAGCGCTCTACGAAAATTCGCCCCCTTCCGTTCTCCGCCTCTGCACGCCTCGCCGGCGAAGGCACCGCCCCTCCAGCGGACAGAATCCCGCCGGCGACCTGCGATCGGCGTGGGACGGAGCTTCCTCAGGCGAAAACAACGGAATAGCAAAGAAGACCACCGATGGCGACGAAAACGACCTGGCGGCGGCACTCTCCACTCCCTCTGCACTTCTCTCCCTCTCTAACTGCGACCGCCCCTTCCCCTTCGTCCTTCTTATCCCTCCTCCCTCTCGCTGATGCTCTCCACGACTTCTCCCTCCCCTCTGCGCGTTCATCTATTACATATCCATCCATCTACTTCCCGAGCTGTCCGAAATCTGTAGTACTTCCTCCTGGGGGGCTAGCCGATGCATGCAGAACCTACGTGGCCATTCTCTGCCTCCGTGGCACCCAACAGCTGGCACCCCACCCCAGTTCTCGGGCCGGGCCCATAAAAAGCCCGAACAGTGGTAATCAGAAGAGGGAGAGAGAGGGAGAGAGAGGGAGAGAGAGGGAGAGAGAGGGAGAGAGAGGGAGAGAGAGGGAGAGAGAAGGACAGAGAGGGAGAAAGAGGGAGAGAGAAGGACAGAGAGGGAGAAAGAGAGTTGGGCTTTTCGGGCCGAACCTAGAAAAGCCCCAGAGTGAACTTAGAAGAGTATTAATGTCGGGCCGGGCCCGCCGCGTCTCGCATTGTATAGCTGGTTGAAATGCCCAGCGCGCTAACCACCCCTGCCTCCATCTAAATGGGAAGATCTTGCGATTTCAACGAATTTTCTACAGAATGGGCCCTCGCGATTCTCCGGCCGAGCCTTAGAAAAGCCCGAAAAAATGTCTATATTTTGGTTATCCCCAGGCCATGAGAAGAGAGAGGGAGAGAGAGCGGTGGCCTTTTTGGACCGAGCCCTAGAAAAGGCAAAAATGAACCTAGAATAGGAATAATGTCGGACCGGGCCTGCCTGCTTCTTTCATCTTATAGCCTGATTAACCCGAAGAACAAAAAGCCCACCAGCAACGCGCCACCCACAACCCCCCAATTCTCGGACCTGGCCCGTAGAAAAGTCCGAAAAGTGGCAATGAGAATAGAGAGAGAGAGAGGGGTGGTCTTTTCGGGCCGAGAAAACCCCAAATTAGCCTTATTTACCGGGGAAAAAAGCCCATGTCCGCTAACCCCCTGCGCCAAAGTAAATGAGAAGACCTTGCCATTTTAACGAGTAGTGGGCCCCATAAAACCTTGGGCGGAGCGCGTGGAAAAGCCCGAAAGTTAGCTCTATTTTTCTTACATCAGTGCAATGAGAAAGAGAGAGAGTATGCGGTAGGCTTTTCCGGGCCGAGCCCTAGTAAAGTCCAAAGTGAATCTAAAATAGGAACGATGTCGGGCCGGGCCCTTGTCTTTCATTGTATAGCCTGATTCACGGGGGAAAAGCCCATCCCGATAACCTACCCTGCGCCTGACTTAATGAGAAGACCTTGCCATTTCAACGATATTTGTCTCCAGAGTGGACCCCATAATTCTCTGCCATTAGAAGAAAAGGAGAGAGAGAGAGAGAGAGAGAGAGAGAGAGGTGGGCTTCTTTCCGGCCGAGCTCTATAAAAGCACACTGTGAACCTAGAATAAGAATGACGTTGGGCCGGGCCTGCATCTTTTATTTTATAGCCTGATTTACCGGGGAAAAAGCCCGGCTCGATAACCTTCCCCTGCCATTGCAATAAATTTTTCTATAGCCTGCCACCCCAAGGCAAGTGGACTTCTAATTTCCCCTTCATCTGAGGGTTGACCCATTCAAGAGTCAACGCCGAGGGAGTGGCATAACTTCCTTTCCCTTTAATAGAAATGCACGCTTACCAGGTTGCAAGATTGTTGGTTACTTGTGCCCATTAACCTCGATCCCGTTTAACAATAAAATATATATGCATGGTGTTAATGTAATAATGTTATAAGTCTAACTAACGAGGGTCTCATGAGCCATCCATTTAGAGTAAAAAATTATTAATTACGCTTAAACATAGGGTTATGGTCACTTTTACAAAATTAATGATAATTTTCAATGTTTTTGTAACGAGGATCCTGTTTTTGTTCAATTTGTGTATATGCCTTTTAGCAGTTGATTATTGACGCTTTATGGATATCTTTAGCAATTGTAAATGTACCACAAAATGTTGCAATAGTCTTCCACGGGTACCTACGAACGTAATTTTTTTTTATGTGCTGGAAAATAGTAAGGAATATATTTTTCTAGATTTTGATTAAAGTTGATTCATCATGGATTCAATATTTTGAGTTGGGGCCTACCAAATAATAATAATTATTATTAACTTCAATTGATTAGTGTCTACTAATTTGGGAATCTGGGGTTATCTAAACAATAATATTATTATGCATAATACTGTATTATTTTCACTTTTATTCAATTTTTTTTAAGGATGATTTTTTATGAATTCACAACTTGCATAATCCATATAGAAAATAAGAATAAATAAATAAACACTACATATTTCCTAAAAAGAGTGAGATAGTGAGAGGTAGAGAGAGATGGATAGATAGATAGATAGATAGATAGATAGATAGATAGAGATAGAGAGAGAGAGAGAGATGGATGAAGTACTTATCATCATCATCATCCTGAGGTCTCCACGTGGACGAAGAGGAAAACTGGGGGATATATTAAATGGTGAGCGAGTACAATGTTAGATTTTTTTTTCGCAAATGGAACGCCTAATAAACCAACAAGTACGAAAAACTCCTAGAAAGATGGAAATATGCGATCGACATTAGAGACATCTCGGGGCCTCAGTTCGAAGCCACGAATACCGTACACAAGGGCACATCTACTATTTAGGAATTTAAAAGACAATAAAATATCCATATATCGTCTTCAGCGAGTGGAAGGGAGAGAGAGTACGATGGCACCAATATCGTTAGCCCTCAAGGGCTCTCTCTCTCTCTCTAGATCCCATTCAGTAAATGCGGAGAGATGCTAGAATAAGAGGAGATAGAATGCCTCGGTGCTTAGATTTTTCATCCGCCCCAGAGAAACTTTATTTGCTGGCATACTTTTACGGCCAAACAAGCTTTTAATTTAAATATATATATATTTTGGGAAAATATATTATAAGAAAATGTAAAAAAATGTACCTATAAATTTAATATTTATAAATTAAAATAATAACTCACCCAAGGTTGATTATGGAGAGAGCCGTTCGCAAAAATGTGAACAAATTCGATTCTACGGCTATTTCAGGTGCACTAAATATGTGCTAAGATATAACAAAGAAAAAAATAATTAGGAAAATAAAATAAATGTGTAAACAATATTTTGAAACTATTAGGGTATATTCGTAAGTATCCGAAATAATAATGAATAATTTATATATTTTTTTTACCGGGAAAGAAAAAGCGTGAGACGAGATGGTATTTGAATCTTCTCTCTCTCTCTCTCTACCCCTCTTTCTCTCTCTACCTCAGCTCGGCGCATTGGACGCCCCCGCCTTTTTAGGGTTTTTCTCTCTCTTGGGTTTTGCTGCGCAGCCAGCCCCAGCATTTGCCTTCCCCAGCAGGCATTGTCCCTGGCCGGATCTGTATCTTGGAGCAGGATTAGGGTGCAAACTGCGTCGTATACCACAGACGGGTGGCCTTCCCTCCCTCAGGAAGCGCCGGCGAGGCAGCGTAGTCTTCTCGGTCTTCCGGAGATCTGCTTATCGCGAGAAACATGGCGACGTTCACTCCTGCAGCTGACCGTACGGATCAATCGCCTCCTCTCTCTCTCTCCCCCGTTCTGAGTTTCTCTTATCTATGATGCTTGTTCTTGCTTCGAGATCGTACGGGTTTCTCGGCGTCATCGTGGAATCTGTTTAGGCTGGATGTGCGAAGGGTTTCCTCTTTCTTTTCTATTCGCCTTCGTTTTCATGCGGAGGTTTTTCGTTGAAGTTTAGGCCGATATATGTGTGATCGCCGAACTAGGGTCGTCTTTCTCAAGTTGTGTGAGGGTTTCGGAGGTGTAGGTCGTATCACTTCTCTTTTTCCTTGGTTGATTGTTCGGTTTACTCCCTATAATTGACTTGTCCTATTTGGGGTGTGACCTTGACTATGTTGCAATCGATCCTATTCTTGGAATTTCTCGGTTTTATTATTTTCGATCCTTGACGTGGAGCTCGTAGATGCTTGTCTTCTATCATCCTGTGGAAATACATGATCGTATATGTGTTTCAGGTTTATCGCTTGTTTTATTTTGCTTTGAATGATTTGGGGGCTCATCTGTTGATTTGGTCTCCTTATGTAGTGGGATTCTCTGCTGGAGAGGTTGGGAACTAATTTTTTTTCCTGTTACAGAAACCGCGGATTTGGTGCAGAAGTTGTCTTTGGATACTCAGACGAAGACCCATAACGTCCAAGAGATTACCAAGAAGGTAACTTCTGCATTGTGATTGAGGTGCACTCTTACTATGGTCGTTTTGTCGATAAGTCTTCCTTCTTACATTGTCTGCCCTTCATATGTCAGCAGTCCAATGGATCAGTAGAACGTAGCAATCTGGCAAATGGGAATGCACCATCAAGTGAGCGATCAACGACACCCATTTTGCAGGACTTCGTTGATCCAAGCATGTACTATCTTTCCAGTGGATATGCATCACAACCCTATTATTTTGGAAGTATGTCTATGCTTTTATTTTTAAAGATACGTTTTGGTATTAATGTTAATGCGTTTATTTGAATTACATGGCATTTTGGACACCGAAAGATGATTTTTGTATATTATTACGTGAGAAACAAGTCATGTCAATCACTGGATTTTTTGTTTTTAAGTGCTCAATTGTATATCAGTGCTTGAACTCTTCTGACTATTATCCTTTCCTGTTATGTTTTCAGCATACAATAACAAGTGGGACGATTACTCGAGATATGTAAATCCTGATGAGGTACCTGTAATCCCTTTTTTTGTCCCACCCATATAACTGTTTCCAAGGCATTATGTGTTTATAAATAGATGCACATATTCATTTAATTATGAATATTCCTTTTTCATTTAATCATATTATATTTTCTTTAGTAACTGGTTCTTCGAATGCCCAGTTGCTAAAGTTATTCCTTATATATTATAGTCTGAAATAGCTTTATTATCGTGAATATTCCCTAGGTATTATGTCATTCGAAATAAATTTTTTTTGGTAACGAGTTTTCTGTTGTTGAGCGTTTTTCGGTTTATTTCATGTGTTTTATTAGTTCGGAGATCTGATTTAGTAACTTGTTGACCACCTGCAGGGTGTTTATGGAGATTTCTACCCTGGTTATGGATATGCGCCCTATGGTGCGTATGCTCCTCCCGGTTCTCCAGTTCCGACCGCGGGACCTGATGGTCAATTGTATGGTCCTCAACAGTATCAGTACCCAGGCCTTTACTACATGCCGTCAACCCCCAGCAGTTCAACATTGACTTCTACTAGTCAACCACCTACATCTCGAGCAGAAGTTTCGGGATCTGCTGCGAGTGAAGAACCAACTGTTTCTGTTGATGCCACAAAGATGACCACAAAAGGAACTTCTAATGGATCTGCAAACGGTGACGTTGGAAGTGTACCACTGAAGCATAACCATCAGAAGCCATTGGCGTCAAATGGTTCACGTGGGAATAGTGCTTTGCCAGGTGGCATCCCTTCTGGTTACCCCCCTGACCCTAGATACGCGTATGATGGAATGCGGTCGCCTGTTCCATGGCTCGATGGTCCTGCTTTCCTCGATGGACAGCACAGACAAGCTGCAACAAGCACTCTCTCTTCAATGGTAATCTATCATGACATCAATTCATGGCCCATTAGACTCCCTTGTCAATCTCTTACTCTCTCTTTTGGGACCATGTTTTTTCAAGTGATTTCTACCTGCTTTACTGCCTGTAATCACCAACTTTTCTTATATGTGATGCCAGGGTCTGAACACTCAGAGGTCAGCTTCTGGAATGGGGCCGGGCTCCCATGGACTCATGAGCAGGATGTACCCAAACAGCAGGATGTACGGCCAGTATGGGAGTGCCTACAGGGCGGCTGGATTTTCATCGAGTGGTTATGATTCCAGAGCCAGCGGGCACGGTTGGTATACTGTTGACCCTAAGTACAAGCCCAGGGGAAGAGGCGGATTCTTCTCCCATGGCAACGAGAACAACGAGTTAGGTGAGCTGAACAGAGGTCCACGGTCTGGCCACTTCAAGGTCCAAAAGGGGCTGGGGCCCAATCCTGCCGTCTCAGTGAAGGGGCAGAGTGTCCTGTCCAGTGACGGCAATGAAGGTTCCACGTTAGTTCCAGAGAAGGAGCTGTACAACAAAGCTGACTTCCCAGATAACTACTCTGATGCAAAATTTTTTGTCATCAAGTCATACAGCGAGGACGATGTTCACAAGAGCATCAAGTATGGTGTCTGGGCCAGCACGGTCAACGGGAACAAGAAGCTCCACTCTGCCTATCAAGAGTCAAAGGAAAGATTGGGCGGCTGCCCCGTCTTCTTGTTTTTCTCAGTAAGTCGTCCCGAAATCTTGCACGGGCTCGTTCTGTCTTTCAAGGCTTCTACTTTAATATTTCCTTTTCGGGAATCATTGCTGAATCTCACAGGTAAACACGAGCGGTCAGTTCGTCGGCGTTGCAGAGATGGTGGGCCCTGTTGACTTCAACAAGACTGTGGACTACTGGCAGCAGGACAGGTGGAATGGCTGCTTTCCTGTCATGTGGCATATCGTGAAGGACGTCCCCAATAGCATGCTTAAACACATAATATTAGAGAACAATGACAATAAGCCGGTGACCAACAGCAGAGACACTCAGGAGGTGAGCAGAACCTATTTTCTGCGAGCAGAGGCTTCCCCCCCGTTGAATCGTTCGTTCTCCTCTGTGATTAACCTGTAATTTTCTGTTTTAATTTTCTTGGGTAGGTCAAACTCGAGCAGGGCCTTCAGATGCTCAAGCTGTTCAAAGAGCATGTCAGTAAGACATCGATTCTGGATGACTTTTTGTTTTATGAAGTGCGGCAGAAAACTATGCAGGAGAAGAGGGCCAAGCAACAGCAGTTTCTTAAACAGGCAAGCTTCCCATCTATGGGTTTATGAGGATAATTACCCTATTTAAATGGTTTCTCACTCTAGAGCCGCTTGACTCTGGCCACAGGTTAGTGCGAGAAATTCAGGAGATGGCCCTGTGGTTGAAGAGAAAGGCAAGGAGGGCACGGCCGAGAAGGCTATAATATCACAGAACCCAGTGGAATCGGCTGCGTTTTTGAGCAAGGAGACGATCGATGCTGCCCTGGGAGAATCCAAACTGGGGGAGGAGACTTGTATGGCTGCAGCACTGGTCAACCCCACGCTGGTCAACGACGCCCAAAAGGTTGCTATATTGGCAGCTGAGAGAAAGGGTGTGGCAAATGGGATCGCCAACAGCTGCTAACCCCTCTTCGGACGCATTTCTCTCTCGGTGTTCAGTGATGGGGTTTTTTCGTCAGAAAGCGATTTCCTTTTATGGGTCTTTTTTTTTTCCTGATTCTAGGCGTAATAGCTTTCAGTGTTCTTGGTGTGATAGCGTATCTGAGTTTCCAAAGGCGGTAGTAGGGGTTTCCTTCATGGCTTTTCCACACGGGCAAACCCATTTCTTTCCTTCTTTCTTCCTTTCTTTCGTCCCCTTAAGAGATGTACCTGAGTCTCCTCTCATTTTGTTCCTCCTTTTCATCTCTCTCTCTCTCTTGCTTTCTTCGGTAAAGAACATGTTGATGTAGCTTCTAATTAGTCGGTGGCTTCTACCAGCTTTTTACTTAATATGGGAAAATCTCCTCTGCCCTTCTTCTGGAAGCTGCTGCTTTCTAACCGATCATCATCATCTCGTCGTCCTCGTCGTCGTTGTCGTTGTCGTCATTATGTCTGGTCCCTCTGTCGGAAGTCTGTCTTGAATGAGTGTTGAACTGGTGGTCTGTTTCCTGTCTTATCTGGGTTCTTCCTACTACGCTTCCTGCCCCCCCAGCTGCCGTTGACTGTTTGGGCTTTCTTCACCCCTTGTGCCACTGATCATGAGGGGGGAAGTCGACTGTGTCGGTTGACTGTTGAGAAAATGTGTTGTGGTCAACAGTCGAGAAAATGTCCTTCGATGTTTACTTATGGTAAGCCGTAGGCTGCCGGAGGCCCAAACATTAACCTTTTGACTTCATCTCCCCACCCCCCGGTCTGCTCCGCGGAGTCTACTCACTGCTGACCAACGTCACATGTTTGAAATTTGAAACCCTCCCCGTCCTCCCATCTTAATTTCATATCCGCCCACGGATCTAGATTCTCTTGCCTCTGTCATCCACGCTGAAGAAGATCCCCCCCCCCCTCTCTGTCTCTCTCTCTCCTTCTTTCTCTCTCTAAAAATGACAGAATCTTCATGAACACGCATGAGGTTGGGTTTCGTGGTGGAAGAACCCACCTGCTAACCGAACCCAGAAAGGTAGAACCGATGACAGCCGGAGGAAGAAGAAGGTGACAAAGCACAGAGCTAGGATAATAATGGTAACGAGAAGGGGAGGATGAAGGGAGGTTAGTTAGCAGGAGGAGGGAGAGGGTGGGGAGGGGGTGGCCATCCGCATCTCGAGGACCTTCTTGTGGGAGTTGGAGTGCTTGTAGCTCACGAAGGTGGGGCTCTTCGCCGGTCTGTACTCCGGGAGCAACCTCCCGGACTTGAAGCGGACGCCGCAGGCGTTGCAGAGCGTCTTCGGTCCCAGCGGACCTGTTCGCCACTGCGGAGTCCTCTGCGACAGGCAGTGGGAGCACCGCCGGGGCTGCCCGCCACCATCTCCCCGCTGCCCTTCAGAGGCCTCCTCGTCCATGGCCGGCGGCGGCGGTGGCTCGGGTTCCTTCTCCTTGAGGACGATGAGTTCGCTGTCTGCTAGCCAGCAGACCTGCGGGAGGAGGGGCGGCGGGTCGGGGGAGATCTCGAGCAGAGCGGCGGCGGGGGAGAGCTTCCTTTTCTTGCTCCGGCCGGTCCTCGCCGTTGTAGATTTGGTGGCGTTTGGGGGCTTCTGATCGGTCGAAGGTGGGGAGGTGGCGGCGAAGGGGATGGCGCCGGCGGCGTCAGCGGTGCTGGAGAGGCACTCCTCCAGGAAGATGGACAGCCACTCCTGGCCCGCATCCTCCCCTTCCTGGATCAATAAACCGACAAAATTTCCAGGTTTTCGAGTCTATTAACTACGGCCGGAGGAACCCTAGAATTTGGGGAGGAAACTGCAGAGCGAGAGAGATCCTCAGAGGCATTGTCGCCATGACGACTCAGGATAAGGACGGCAAGGAATGCACTATTCTCTGAAACACACTGGTAAATCAGCGCGGCGAGAGGGAGAGAGAGAGAGAGTGAGAGAGAAGAGAGAATGAGAGAGAGAGAGTGAGAGAAGAGTGAAGAGAGAGCAATAGAGGTAGAGAAGGGGATGAGAGAGAATGAGAGATATAGAGAGAGAGAGGAGGGAAAGAGGAGAGAGGGAGAGAGGGAGAGAGGGGGAGAGGGAGAAGGAGAGAGAAGGAGAGAGAGGGAGAGAGAGGGAGAGAGAGGGAGAGAGAGGGAGAGAGAGGGAGAGAGAGGGAGAGAGAGGGAGAGAGAGGGAGAGAGAGGGAGAGAGAGGGAGCGACAGAGGAAGTGAGGGGGAAGAGAGAATGTGTGTGTGAGAGAGGAGAGAGATGGAACCACACTTGGCTGGGGAAGTCTCCAAATTGGGAAACCCCGGGGGTGGAAGAACCGGGGAGGGGAGAAGGAGGCCTCCCATCGACAAACTGTCTAAATAAGAACATATTCCATGGCGAAGAAGAAGGCGACCTACCGGATTCCCTCCCGGGAACAGCTCCTCGAATTTCCCACTGGTCGAAGGCATCAACGTCTCCGGCAGGCGACCGGCGGGAAGCACAGCCGCGCCCTCCACCTCCCAGAAGGAATCCATTCCCAACCCTACAGCCGCTGACTGTAGATTCAGAGAGAGAGAGAGAGAGAGAGAGAGAGAGAGAGAGAGATTACAGATGAACGGAGGCTTTCAATTTACGCGCTCAGTTCGACGTCGGCGGAGAAGACGACCGACCCGAATCTATTCTCACTCCCTCCCTCTACCCCATCACTCTCTCCCCGATCGTTCAAATTATTTCAAACCCGCTCTATCCCGATGACGTCAGACACGTACTGGCCGTGCGATCATGGGATCCGGCTGCGGGTGACCGTTGATGAATTGGCGTCTTACGTAATTTAGCAACTTGTACGAAGGATAAAAGCCAAGGGGTAACAGTATCACCGAGCAGGGGCCCGCATCGTGCCACGCTGGAATCATGCGGTGAGCGGTACCTTATTCTCCGCTGCGGTGAGAAGAATGGGAGTTACCCACCTTTTAAAAAATGTCTCCTGGGGCGGGGGGCCAAAGGTCAAAGGCCAGTTGTTTCCGGTGATCCCACCCTCACATGTGAGCGCTCTCTCCCTCTCTCTCTCTCTCTCTCTCTCGCACGTGAAAAAGGGGCCCACGTGACAGTTGTCTCAAGAGCCCATCATTTTCCTACACGTTGGCCCACATTCCCCTTCATGATTATGGGCTTTGATAAAGCCCATAATTGCGTGTGCTACTGGGCCACTTATTGTTTAAACAACCCATTAGTAAACTTGGGCTCATAATAGATGGACATAGATTAGCCCATTATCTATCGTGGTCGGTTTGTTGGGCCGATGGGTCACGCCATTCACACGGATCACGCAGTTGTCGTCTTGGAGGACGTATCTTGCGTCACACCGAACACCAGTACTGACGAATGAAATCTTACCACGTATGATAATTGAGAGCAGAAGCGCATACGTCTCGATGCGATGGGCTGCATATCATTCTGTCCAGACTTTGTGGAACAGAGCCCTTTTCAAAATATTAAAAGTCATATATACCCCTACTTAAAAGCACGTGTAAAGGGTATTTATGTCTTTCACTATTCCTCGTGGCGCTCTTATCCGGGACCGTTGTTTTGGTCGTCCGCTTCCTCACATAGTAGGAGAGTTTGAACGGCTATTTGCTCTCTCTCTCTTTCTCTCTGGTGGATGGCGATGGCGATGGCGGCGAGGAGGGGGGCGACGGCGAACAGGGGGCAGCTGGTGGGGATCCTCAGGGGGTTCTCAAGCTCCTCGTCGGTGGTAGATTCCTGGCAGAAGAACAAGGAGGGGATTGCGGGGGGGAAGCCCCTCAATCTCTTCTCCGCCATCAACCAGGCACTCCATATCGCCCTGGAAACCGATTCCCGGTGAGCTTGCTGTCATGAAATTCTCCCATACAGTGCTTCAACCCGTATTTCGTCTCTGGAATTGTTTGATCCACTTCTTTTCTCCTTGGACATGGAATGTGATTTTATCTCGGAAAATAATGACACGCTTGGAGGATGGCGCCAATGGGAGAGGGTCTGTTAAAACTTTTGGGATCTGGAGAGCAGATTGTCAAACTACGTCCTATGTAATTCACTAAATGTTATCAGTGCGTGGTAAATGATAAAATTAAACAAAATACGTATATAACAAAAAAATACGTATTGAAGTATCCGGGAATAGTACTAACCGACGCGGAATTTAATTTCCTGGGCGTTTCTGGCTTCATCTTATTAGGCCAAGGACAGTGACGGAGCAGAGCTGGGTTTATTAGTTTTTAATTATTTTAACCACCTTCCACTGAAAGAGTGTAGATTTTCATCCAGTTTAACTCATTTTTCGCGTACCTTATAAGTAGCGCTCACCTAAATTTCTCTTCAGCTTTTCCGTGGCCTTATAAACAACCTGCTCCCATCTTCCGCTCTCTGCTTTACTGTATTGTTAGTAAGTGGAGTATACATCCGTTAAGCTTCTTAAAGAGGGAGGCTTTGCAGTGCGTATGTATTTGGTGAGGACGTGAGTTTTGGCGGGGTCTTTCGCTGCACTACAGGCTTGGTGGAAAGATTTGGCAGGAAGAGGGTTTTCAACACCCCCTTATGTGAACAGGTAATTTACTCCTTTCTTCTTGTTATATGCTTATTATGTTAGTATTTCCTCTTATTAATTTAAGAGGGAGAGAAACCAAACATTGGCTGGGATTTAATCGCTGTAGTTTTTTTAGGTTAATGCATGAAGGATATGCTCAAACTTACTGCTCCCATGAAATATATTGATCCAGGTTAATTGATTTTTATGATCATCATTTATAATCAAATCGGTAACGAGAGTAAATCTAATTCAATTATCTCATTTATCAGTTCATCACCATAATTAATCTCAGTTCTAGCATGAAATATTTTGATACAGCCTGACTCTCTATTGTCATTTTATTACTGATATAAATTCAGGGAATTGCGGGGTTTGCTGTTGGTCTGGCTGCAATGGTGAGGATCTTACACTGCAGTATGACTGACTCTTTCTATGTTTTTGACGAAGAGAGAGTGTTTTCTCTTTCTGTTGGTGATTCATGGACCTGTGTTTTTATTTTTTTTGTGGCAGGGAAATCGAGCAATTGCTGAGATTCAGTTCGCAGATTACATTTACCCTGCGTTTGATCAGGCACGTTCTTTCCTTTTTCATATTACAAGTCTCTTGCATCCACTATTTCTGTTTGCGTTCCCTTCTTTTAGTATGCACTTCCTCTTACAATTATTCCTGTAATTATTTGCATGTTATCATGGGATATGAAAATATATACGTAGCTAAGCTATAGCATCCGTATATTGCTGAGAAATTTCTCATTTTAAATCTATTCAGATATGATTTGATGACATGGATTATGTTATTTTCCAGTCTGATAAATTATCTCAGCGGAATACCGTATATTCTTGAATGTTTCAATTTTTTTCTCTGGTGCATTTGTTGTTCAGAGGGGTGGCATTAATTTTTTTTCATTCGGGTGGTGGAGTGAGTACCTTGGAAACTTGTTAACCTCCAAAAACTAAAATATATCGAGTGATCTTGAAAGGTTTGAAATATTCCTCTGATCTGTCAGTTCTGAAGTGAGTCGATGAATTGCCAATGGAATTTGGGATTTATTGTCTGCTTCTGTAGTTGCTACCTCTTAGTCATCTCTTGAAAGCTTTTCGAAAAGAAAAATAGTCTGAAATGTGCTTGGTCTACCGGAGAGGCATGTCTTTTATGACCTTTGCTAAAATCAGAGGAAAAGCTGAGGGAAACGAAAGAAGAATAATATATCATTACTTTCTCCTCCCTCAATGCTGTATCCTCAAGAAAAACCAATAAAATAATATTTTTTTCTACATATTTTACTTTTTCGTAGAAAAATATATCAGCCTAGCGGGCCTTTCCCTCTTGAACCGGCTAACTTGCCTCTGCGCATAGAAGAGTCATGTGTAGTATCAGGCTAGCATAAAAATCATTGTCCATCTCTTCTGATATCCCCCAGGAATACACAAAAGCTGTAATCACGAAACTATGGTTTTTCTTGGAGAACTTTCTTGGTTGTCGTTGACTTTCAAAGCTCTGAGTGCACTTGTTATTGAATATTTGATAAATTTTTAATACAAATGTCTTCTTTTAATATTCGCCTTCCATGGGTCCACAGAGATTTCTATGTTATTTATACTTATTATTCACCTTAATATATGTATGTTAGATGTATTTCCTTCATTGCTCAATATAACAGATGGTAATCTCGGGCAGCCAAGGAGTATAAGGAAATATAGACGATTTTTTAATAGGAAAATGAATAATTTATGCAAGAGCAAACGGCAGTGCACTTCATTGAATAATAATCTTTTTAATTAAAAATGAGACTACCTCCCCATTCTTTAGAACAGTTCATTCCATCGTTACATTATTATCTTAACACTGAGTTGTTCAACATTGAAGGAGTCGACTTTTTGGCAAGGAATAGAAGCTTTATGATCATCATTTTCTCATCCGACCATGGTTTTCCTGCTGTGCAGATTGTTAACGAGGCAGCAAAATTCAGATACCGAAGTGGGAACGAATTCAACTGCGGAGGTGTGCTTTGTGTTCTTGCAGCTTAATTATCTATGCCCATTCTGTCATCGTGGATTAATGATTTTAATTTTAATTTTAAATTTTTTAGGTATCACAATTAGGACCCCTTATGGAGCTGTTGGCCATGGTGGGCATTATCACTCACAATCCCCGGAGGCGTTCTTCTGCCATGTTCCTGGGCTCAAGGTCAGAGTCAACCTTATATCTTCAGAATTTTTTCTTTTGACTTCTCTCTCTAGGATGTGGTTAATCATCAACACATCCAGTGAATGAAATCAGAGCTTTAAGTATCCTTCGACTTACCATCATCGCGGTGATTGACGAATTTGATCAATCTTTCATGCCACTAATGGAAACACAGGTCGTCATCCCCCGGAGCCCCAGTGAGGCGAAGGGACTGCTGCTGGCGTGCATAAGAGATCCCAACCCTGTCATATTTTTCGAGCCCAAGGTGGGAACTTTTCATCAACCTCTACTAAAAGTCAACCCCCGAGTCCCTCTTTCACCATGATTTTCGTGGCTCCCTCTGCAGTGGCTCTACCGGCTGGCCGTCGAGGAGGTCCCTGACCACGACTACATGCTTCCCCTATCTCAAGCCGAAGTAACTGAATGAATAAATAAATAAATGATTATTTACTTATTTATTTCCTTGGTTAGGAATTGGGTATTTGTCATATCCTCTGATCAGGTGATGCGGGAAGGAACAGATATAACGCTCGTCGGCTGGGGGGCTCAGCTCCTGGTGATGGAGCAAGCTTGTGAGATTGCAGAAAAGGTGGCTTTTTCTCATCGAGATTCTGGTCAAGATTGTCATTAAATTCGCCAAACTTTGGTTGTGGGGGCGAAATCAGCAAAGATTATATGGTATGATTATATATAATCTATTGGGACAACTGCAGGAAGGGATCTCCTGTGAGCTTATCGACCTGAAGACGCTGATTCCATGGGACAAGGAGGCCGTCGAGGTCTCTGTGAACAAGACCGGGCGACTGCTGGTGAGTGGGCCCTTCATGGAGTTGTTGCAGATTCTGAGGTTTCGGTGGGTTGACTTCTGTGGGGGTTGACTGGCGGCAGGTCAGCCATGAAGCTCCAGTGACTGGAGGGTTTGGCGCGGAAATTGCTGCTTCTGTGGTTGAAAACTGCTTCCTGAGGGTAATCTCTTGCCCCCATCTTCTCTTGGTTTTCGGTTCATTTATTTATTTATTAATTATTACTATTATTGTTATTATTTGCTGTCGCAGCTGGAAGCACCGGTGGCGAGAGTTTGCGGGCTTGATACACCGTTCCCTCTTGTTTATGAGCCCTTCTACTTGCCAACGAAGAACAAGGTGCCTCTCTCTCTCTCCCCCTCTCTGCACCCCATCCCTTGGTTTCTTCCTCTATCTGTCCTACGCCTTTCTGTCTTATCAACGAAGCCTTCAACTTCTCAGTAGAGAACAAGCTCTCTCTCACTCTCTTTCCCTCCTCTGTCATACCCATTTCCTTCTGGTTCATGAACTATTCGACTCGTTAACAAAGAACAAGATCCCCCCCTCTCCCTCCCTCTCTCTCTGTTTCTATGTTTCTCTCTCTCTTTTCCTCTCTCCGTCCCTCTCTCTCTGTTTCTTTGTTTCTCTCTCTCTCTCTCTCCCTCCCTCCTCTGTCATACCCATTTCCTTCTGGTTCATGAACTATTCGACTCGTCAAGAAAGAACAAGATCCCTCCCTCTCCCTCTCTCTCTCTCTGTTTCTATGTTTCTCTCTCTCTTTTCCTCTCTCTCTCTCTCTCTCCCTCCCTCCTCTGTCATACCCATTTCCTTCTGGTTATGAACTATTCGACTCGTCAAGAAAGAACAAAGTCCCCCTTCTCTCTCTCTATCTCTCTCTGTCTGTATCTCTCCATCTCTCCCGATCTCTCTCTGTTTCTCTCTCTCCACTGTTAACCAAGCGTGTGCCGTCGATTCACCTGCAGATTGTAGATGCAATCAAAGCGACGGTGAATTACTGAAGAAACCAGCTGCAGCCCTCCGCAAGCGATTCATCAACGATACCTATCCACTCCGGTTAATAGAAATATTTCATAAAAGTCTCTCCTCCTCTGCATACTTGCTTATCTTATACAAATCTCCCCTTCCTTGTACATATGCCACCACATTCAAGCCCTATATTGTCAATATACTTTGTTCGACTTCCACACCCCAATGCGATATTTATATTCTAGTCCCTATGTCTAATATTCTCATTTTATTTCAGCCCCTTGCTCGGAGCTCGGGTTCGTCCCTGGCCCTCAACGGGGCTACTGAAGTCCGACTTACGATCGATTAATCTGACCCGTCTGATCTCAATCAGACCTTTCGATTAGATCCTGGCTTAGCTGGGGCCCACCGATAGGGACATAGAAATAGATGAATACGTAATTAATAAATCGTCATAATTTTACTCTACGTAAATAAATAAATAGAAATGATTTATTCTCATGGATCCGATTGGATACTATCCGAACCATTATGTCCGAAGAAAGGGGTATTTACGTCATTTTCAACACATATATAAATCTCTCTCTCTCGCTCACTGATGAGGGAGTATATAAGCCGAGTTAGGGTTTTCTTGGAGCAGCCTCCTCCAGACTGCCGTCGGCACAGGTCAGCTACCTTCCTCGCGCACACCTCGTCTTCCTCCGCTCCATTTCTTCGTGAGCTCGCGATAACCGTCTACGAGATTTGTTTTCAGCTGGGGAACTACCGGCGCTCGCTCTCCGTTGATGGTTTCTCAGTCTTATGCTTCGGCGTTTCGGGGTTTTGGTGCTTGATCTGAGGTTCTTGTGGGAAATGATGTTTTTGTGTTTGTCGTTAGACGATTGCTTCATCGCGGATGCCTCAATATTTTTCTTCGGAAGGCGGTTTTCTGCGATTTTGAAAGGGCATGAATGGGTTCTAGATGAAGACTGTTTTCCTGGCGATGATTATCATCCTGTGATTCGTGGTTGAAATCCCGTTCCAATTGATGAGGTTGCTTTGAGGTGTAGTATTTTGTTATATTTTATTAGCTTGAGCTTATCCATACGTTCATTCCGCAATGCAGCGTGAAAGAGAGGCAGCGTCGGGATGTCTCATCGGAAGTTTGAGCACCCCAGGCATGGTTCCCTCGGGTTCCTGCCGAAGAAGCGAGCTGCTCGCCACAGGGGGAAAGGTATCGCACAGGACTTCTCAATGATTTGAGCTGTTTGATTTACTTACTATTGTTTTGGTCTCCTGTCAAAGCTTTGAGAGATTTTTTTACATGTTTTCTGTCTTTTTGATATACAGTGAAGGCCTTCCCGAGGGATGACCCTAGCAAGTCCCCAAAGCTTACTGCCTTCCTAGGCTACAAGGCAGGAATGACCCACATTGTCAGAGAGGTCGAGAAGCCTGGATCAAGTAAGTTATCATGCTTTTCCAGCTTCATCATTATCATTTATCCCTTTTAAATAATTTCATTTGAATTGAAATTTTTTGTATGTTTCATACGATTCGGATGCTCTGTGATATTTGGTTAATGTGCTTTTTTTCTAGATAATTTCATTTGATCATGAAGCTGTTTGTATGGGCACTTTTTCATATTATATAAACCAAGCTCTGGATATCGAAATATGGCATTTATTTAGGTATTAGGTAGATCTTCGTAACTCGGTCATGATGAATCGCATTCACTTCAGGGTTTTTTCTTGTGCAAATCAGCAGCAGATGCATGCTCTTGTTCTTTACAGATGACCCTTGTAATGCTCGAATGCTTTCTGTGTAGAACTTCACAAGAAGGAAACCTGCGAGGCGGTGACAATCGTTGAGACTCCTCCAATGGTGATTGTTGGAGTTGTCGGGTACATCAAGACGCCTCGTGGACTCAGG